AACAAAGTACTAAGAAGCCACAGTGCCTTTATCCCCACATGTAAAAATAAAAAAAAATGATTTGAAACCTTGCAATCTACTTCTATTGATTTTTATACTATTAAAGTGTTTATTTTCCTAATACTGGAAGGGTTGCATTGTTTTATGCATTATGTCTGAATCCATCTGTGGAGTCTGTTGCCGTCTGAATGTGTATTATTTATGTTCACTTAGTTTCTTGTTTTCCCCACAACCGAAACGACTGAGGTCAGATCCTAGGGTGCTAACAAGCTTTTGTTACAGGTCTTGAATATCACCAGCCTACTCTGTAAAATCAATGTAATGCTGTACACTGAATGTGCTGTACATCATATGGATGTTTTCTACGATGATGAAATATGACAACAGCCATATTCTATTTTTGTAACAAGAGGAATTTAACGTACTGTGAAGTCTTAAATAAATGACAGCTTGGACGGAAACCTCACTACTGTATAGTTTTTAAAGATGTGTATGTGTGAAATATACACGATAGCAAGTCATGAATTCTCATCCTCATCATGAAAACAATCTGAGGAGTTCTTCATCTCATCAAGTGTGCTTAGACTAAATAGGTACAAAGAAATCACTTTCAGCACTTAAAGCTACAGTGTTAAAATATTACTAAAGAAGATACAGTTTTGATACTTGCCACTTCATTAGGTAAACTTCAATGTTGCCAGGATAGCATCATGCAGTTGCTGCAGATTTGTTGACTGCACATCCATGATCCAAATCTACCACTCCTCTACATTGCAGAGGTGCTCTACTGCAGCGGTCCCCAACCTTTTTTTGCACCACGTTTATGCCCGACAATATTTTCACGGAACGGCCTTTAAGGTGTCGCGGATAAATACAACAAAATAAAACTAGTACCGGTACCGAAAAAAAGAAGATTTATTCATAACACACGTGAAAAGACCCAGGAAAACCAAGTTAACGATAAAAACGATAACAAAATAACGCTGAAAACCGATAAAAACCCTGAAAACCATACATTTCAAACCTGAGCCTCAACTCTCACGGCCCGGTACCAAACGACTCCCGGGGGTTGGGGACCGCTGCTTTACTGTACTGAAATTTAGTGACTGTGGCCATTTGAGTACAATGAACTCACTGTCATGTTTAAAGAACCAGTTTGAAATGACCCGAGCTTTGTGACATGGCACATTATTCTTGAAGCAACCTTCAGATGAGTACACTGTGGTCATAATATGGTTACCACCAATACTCAGGTAGGTTGTCGTGTTTAAATGATTCTCAGCTGGTACCAAGGGGCAGAAAATTTGCCATGATGATACTAGACCTCCCTCTCCCCAGCCACCTCCTCCAGCTTGTCCAGCCGAGAGATATAATCTCACCAGTGTACCCTGGGTCTGCCCAGGACACACTGGTGGTGGGACATGCCCAGAACACCTCACGCAGGAGGCACCCAGGAGGCATCCTTATCAGATGCCCGAACCACCTCAATTGGCTCCTTTTGATGTGGAGGAGCAGCGACTCTACTCTGAGCCCTTCCTCGATGGCCGAACCTCTCACCCTATCTCTAAGGGAGAGGCCAGACACCCTTCGGAGCAAGCTCATTTCTGCCTTCGAACGGCCTGTAGCAATGGGCCAGACACCGCATACTACCGAAGCACCTCTCACAGGACACTCCGAGGGACACGGTCGAATATCTTCTTCAAGTCCACAAAACGCATGTACACTGGTCGGGCAATCTCCCATGCACCCTCAAGTATCCTTGAGAGAACAAAGAGCTGGTTCATTGTTCCACAACCAGGACGAAAACCGCATTGTTCCTCCTGTATCCGAGGTTCAACTAACGGATGGATTCTCCTCTCCAGCACCCTGGCTGAGACTTTCCCAGGGAGGCTGAGGATTGTGATCCCTGTATAGTTGGAACACACACTCCAGTCTCCCTTCTTAAAGCTGGTAACCACCACCTGGTCTTCCAATCCAGAGGTACCGACCCTGATCTCGTGTTCAGATCCGAGAGGTCGTTCCTTCCAATTACACCCCTCCAGCTCTCACTGTCATTGCCCACATGAGCATTGAAGTCTCCCAGTAGGACAACAGAGTCCCCGGGCGGAGCACCCTCAAGCACCCTGACCGGGGACTCCAAGAAGGCTGGGTACTCTGAACGGTCACTCGGAGCATAAGCGCAGATGAGAGTCAGGACCCATTCCCCGACCCCAAAGGCACAGGGAACAAATCCTAATAGGGAACAAACCCCAGTGTACAGTCAGTAAGCCGAGGGGATACTAGGATACCCAGCACCTCCAGACTGAGATAGAGTCCCTCCCCTCTCCAGGAGACTGGTTCCAGAGCCCAAGCAGTGTATTGAGGTGACCCCAACTATATCTAGTGGGTACCTCTCGACCTCACGCTCTAACTCGGGCTCCTTCCCCACCAGAGAAGTGACATTCCATGTCCCAATTGCTAGTCTTGGTACCTGGGGATCGCTCTGCCAGGGCCTCCGCTTCTGGCCACTGCCCACCAGACAATGCACCCGACCCCTACGCCGCCTCCTGCGGGTGTTGGGCGCCCGCAGGAGGATGGACCCACAGCCCGAAAAAGGGAGATGAATACTCTCGGGCACCCTCCCCAGGCCCAGCTCCAGGTCGGGGCCCCCGTAAACCCTATCCCAGGCGGCATGAACTGTTCCTTTGATGTTCTACTCATGGGGGTCTTCTGAATCACTCCTTGTCTGGTCCCTCACCCAGGACCAGGACACAGCCCCTGGGATCCCTGGGACACACAAACTCCTCCACCACGATAAGGTAGTGATTTACAGAGGTGGGATAGAAAAATATTTTGGGGGAATTCAAAGGGTTTAGGGGATTAAATTTTCTTTGAGGATTTTCAGCTTGATTCCCTGTGGGAATATTAGAGGTCAAGCTACTGAAAAGATATCTCCAGTGATGAAGAGGTAGACTTGATAAGTTAAATATTGATGGACTCTATTTTGCCCCCTTCTGTTTTGTATTTCCTGTGTGCTTCTGTGCAGAGTCAGTGTGAACTTGAAAAAGCTTTCCTTCAAGAATGAAAACATAGCGTTACTCTGGGATGGTGGCTGTACTAAAAGATAAAACCAGAGTGAATTATGTTTATCATGAGCACTAATTACGCTGTGGCAGCAAACCAGAAACATTGCCATAATATTTTCATACTCCAGCCTACCTGTTTGTGCAAGTGCACAAGGTCTTTAAGAGCATACACCCTGTGTATCCTGTTTTGACTGGTGGGAGGGATAAAGGTGGGACAGAAAAATTACATTTTTGTTTATATGAGAGTCCTGGGTGTGTCTAAAAGCTGTAATAAAACTCTGATTTCAGTTTATTTCTGAAATTCCTCTTACAGGAACACCATGAAGAGCCACTTTAAAACTATAAGCTCTAAGCCACAATGTTATAACCACCTACCAATCAATGTTAAGGTCACTAAAGTGCAGTGAATCCTTTGGACCAGGCTTATTTTGTCACATCATTATGGATAGTCACTTTATTAAACACCATCAAAAAGAAGAAGCAAGAAGGTTGGACATAATCCAGGATGAAGTTTTGAGACGTGATGTACTGACAAAGCTGTTCCAGAATTCTTTCTTTCTAAGTTTTATTTAACTAAGTAAAATTTTGGTTATCAAAACTGACCATTATCTGTCAATCACCTCTCTTTTGTCTGAGCTTAGCTCATGTAAACAGTATATGCAAATCATATTAACAAGTAAGGCAATGTTGAGATTCAAAATAAAAATGAAACTGCACATGGACACAAAAACAGAAAAGGGTGGGATAATTAGGGAAAATGAGGAACATTTAATATAGAATTAAAAAGAATGAGAGGAATACAGATATAGGAATACAGAATAGATATACCAGGGGAAGATTGCAGTATTTTCACATTACATCCGCAAAAAAGGCAGATGCTCAGATATTTTTAGGGGAAATTGCATATTACAGTTTTCCCCAATTGTTTACACACTTTCCTGAAAGAATGCCTCGTATTGTCAGAGAAATAAAAAAAACACACACACAAAACGGGCAAAACCCTTCAATTCTCCTGTAAATGAAACGCTACATTCAAAACGATATAATTTCTTGTCAAAATGGCATTTTGTTTTCAAATGACACACACAAACATCACATGAATAGACATTTATTAGAACCAACTGAACACTGATGTGCTTAATGTAAAACACTATGACCATTCTTCTACCAGTCATCATAATGACTTGCTGTAAGCCTTTTTTTTTGTTCAGAGTATGATTACTGTACAGTGCTGTAATTTATACAGTGTTGAGAGTATGCATCAATTGTGGGATTGTGTGGGACTTACTTGCATATAGTTGCATCGCAATTCTTTGACTCTTTCTGAATTGCGTTCAAATGGCACCCTGGTTGATCCTCAGATTATTTCTGTGCAAGAGATGGTCCAGTGTTGATAAGTTGACCCTATCAATATTTTGAAATATGTTGTTGTCTTCTATTATTTTTCTTTATATTTGTTATGAGGTTTTTTCTAGAAACCATGTTTATCATTTCAGTCTCCTGTTCAGGAGACCACCTCATGTTGGTAAGCTTTCAGCTCTGCAATAAAAACAGTATACTGTAAAATACTGCAGCGTGACGTCAACTCCAAAGCCCTATTACTGTACTTGTACTTCAAACACAATGGCTACGACATGTAACTGATGCACTAATCCCCTGAACCAATTCTGCTACACTGCAAGCACAATTCCTACTTTTTTAAAACACACTTAAAAAAGAACAGAAAATACTGTAAAGTATGTGGGAAATGTACTCCTACTTTGTATTCCTACATAGTAGTGTGTAAACAATTGGGAAAAACTAACATAGATTATAGAAGTAGGGCTTCGACAGTAACCACGCTAATCCACAAGGTGGCGGTAATGCACCTTAAAGGTCTTTGCCGGCTGCCAATTAGCAAACTGAAAGAAGAGGAAGGCCATTCCTTTGGCCACTCCTCCCCCACTAGTAGACACACCTCTTCCCTCTGCAAACCATGTGGCTATACGGTTGGTAAATAAATACTTCTTCTAAATTTTAACTTCCTTTACGGTGTGAACTTCTGCACGGCAGGAACAGGCAGCATGTCGACGGTGGTCGTGAGCCTCCAGGCGCAGGTGGAGTCGGTGCTAGGCTCGCTGGTTAAAGCGGCCTCGGTGGAGTTAATCAAACTGTTCGAGAGCAGATACCGAGCATCCGAGGTGGACCTGGGCCGCGGTGAGGACGGGAAGGGAAGTGAAACCTCGGATGTTTTATCGAGCGGGGACACAAAACGGAGCATCGGAGTGCAAGTGGGCGACAGCGCGGAGGAGCCGTCGCTGCTTCATGGTTCGTGTTTCTGAGGCTTTAAACGTCGTTACTTCCTGTTTGTGTTCACAGCTCTGCTGCAGCTCCTGGTACACGAGTGGGGCTTTTAGCTCCAGTAAAAAAATAAATAAAAACATGTTTGAAAGTTATTCCAACAGAGTTCTGTGACGTCGATAAAGAAATAGTTTGATGCATGTTTGCATATCACCAAGCAATCTTGCACGAAGCTGAAGTGTAGTTGCCAGCGTTAACCCTCCCCCTCCTCTACTCCGTAGGGCTCACTTTTGTCTCGGATAGCGATTATGTGAGGGAGTGCAAGGAGGTGGTGATGGAGGGTTGCCTCATTCCGCCAGAAATCCTCTTGGCTGAAGATAATGGGCCTGCTGACCCCGAGTGGTCATCCCTGAAGGATCCGGTCAGTAAGAATTTACAGGGGCTGTAAATCACCTGTGGAATGAAGAACAGGCACTTTATGAAGCCTGGTCTGCTTTTCTCTGTTGCCCGTTTTTTTATTACTGCGATGCTTCAGGTGCGGTATGCATTGCACTAGTCATGATGCATGCATGCAAATGTGTCTTGTTCCTTCTTTGGTCAGGTTGTGGATACGGTGGAGTTGAGCGTCCTTGGAGCAGAGTCTCCATCTGACTGTGGTGCTCAGACAGAAGTTGATTTGCATGGTAAGAACTTTGTGTTATGCTGACACAGTGGAAGCATGAACACATTATGCATGCTAGACACACACCATGCATACTACATTAAAAAAGTCAGCGTACAATTGATCTGGTTGCATAACTCATTTGTTTTGTTTTGCTTTTTGTTGTTTTCTTTTATCTTGAAAAGGGGCAAGGTACATGAGGCTAGCATCTGAATGTGCGAGGACCCGAAAATTCTGTAAAATAATTCATAAATAATTGATGCAAAGTAGAATGGGCAGTATTCTGATCTACCCTGTGCACAGTTCTGTTTGGAAATGATCCATTCATCATAAGCAATAGGATTAAGTTATTGAAGTTATTTTTTGTAACTTCTTTCATATTCCCTCCACACATCATAGCAACTCTCCCATGCATAATAGGAGAGTTGCTTTGATGCTACTTTCCAATGGACAGTGCCTGCAGGTACATATACACACATACCAGATACAGTGGGGCAAAAAAGTATTTAGTCAGCCAGCGATTGTGCAAGTTCCCCCACTTAAAATGATGACAGAGGTCAGTAATTTGCACCAGAGGTACACTTCAACTGTGAGAGACAGAATGTGAAAAAAAAATCCATGAATCCACATGGTAGGATTTGTAAAGAATTTATTCGTAAATTAGGGTGGAAAATAAGTATTTGGTCACCTCAAACAAGGAAAATCTCTGGCTCTCACAGACCTGTAACGTCTTCTGTAAGAAGCTTTTCTGTCCCCCACTCGTTACCTGTATGAATGGCACCTGTTTGAACTCATCATCTGTATAAAAGACACCTGTCCACAGCCTCAAACAGTCAGACTCCAAACTCCGCCATGGCCAAGACCAAAGAGCTTTCGAAGGACACCAGGAAAAGTATTGTAGACCTGCACCAGACTGGGAAGAGTGAATCTACAATAGGCAAGCAGCTTGGTGTGAAAAAATCAACTGTGGGAGCAATCATCAGAAAATGGAAGACATACAAGACCACTGATAACCTCCCTCGATCTGGGGCTCCACGCAAGATCTCATCCCGTGGGGTCAAAATGATCATGAGAACGGTGAGCAAAGATCCCAGAACCACACGGGGGGACCTGGTGAATGACCTGCAGAGAGCTGGGACCAAAGTAACAAAGGTCACCATCAGTAACACACTACAACGGCAGGGAATCAAATCCCGCAGTGCCAGACGTGTTCCGCTGCTGAAGCCAGTGCATGTCCAGGCCCGTCTGAAGTTTGCCAGAGAGCACATGGATGATACAGCAGAGGATTGGGAGAATGTCATGTGGTCAGATGAAACCAAAGTAGAACTTTTTGGTATAAACTCAACTCGTCGTGTTTGGAGGAAGCAGAATACTGAGTTGCATCCCAAGAACACCATACCTACTGTGAAGCATGGGGGTGGAAACATCATGCTATGGGGCTGTTTTTCTGCCAAGGGGACAGGACGACTGATCCGTGTTAAGGACAGAATGAATGGGGCCATGTATCGTGAGATTTTGAGCCAAAACCTCCTTCCATCAGTGAGAACTTTGAAGATGAAACGAGGTTGGGTCTTCCAACATGACAATGATCCAAAACACACCATCCGGGCAACAAAGGAGTGGCTCCGTAAGAAGCATTTGAAAGTCCTGGAGTGGCCTAGCCAGTCTCCAGACCTCAACCCCATAGAAAATCTGTGGCGGGAGTTGGAAGTCCGTGTTGCTCGGCGACAGCCCCAAAACATCACTGCTCTCGAGAAGATCTGCATGGAGGAATGGGCCAAAATACCAGCTACTGTGTGTGCAAACCTGGTAAAGACCTATAGTAAACGTTTGACCTCTGTTATTGCCAACAAAGGTTATGTTACAAAGTATTGAGTTGTATTTCTGTTATTGACCAAATACTTATTTTCCACCCTAATTTACAAATAAATTCTTTACAAATCCTACCATGTGGATTCATGGATTTTTTTTTTTTTCCCACATTCTGTCTCTCACAGTTGAAGTTTACCTCTGGTGCAAATTACTGACCTCTGTCATCATTTTAGGTGGGGGAACTTGCACAATCGGTGGCTGACTAAATACTTTTTTGCCCCACTGTAAATACTATGACGAGTACCTGGATTTCTGTCTGATGTTAAGTGTCATCAGTAAAGCTGTGGCTTTTTGCTCCCTCAGACCAGTAAACCACAACATTGAGAAACCTGTGTGTTCCTCTATGATGCAGGATGTGTATCGCACGCAAGTTGTAATGCGGCATTATTCTTGCAAATATCGATTTTTAGCATCACGCGATAGTTTAATAATGTGGTGGAGCAAGTAGGCTTAGGCTAAATGCTTTTTTTATACACAGAGTAGCAATACAAAAGTTTGACTCAATTTTATTTATACAGCGCCAAATCACAACAACGGTCTCCTCAAGGTGCTTTATATTGTAAGGTAGACCCTACAGTAATACAACAGTGTATCATGAGAGTGTGCTGTGCTAACACTTGGAAACACTTTGTTGTGTTGCTGCCGTGTCGTGCTAACAGCAGCGATACTTGACCATTTCACTTCACAGCTACATGAATTAGCAAGAACACTAGCTCCGCTCGTCACTCACGGCACTCTGTCACCTGTCTTTAATAATTACCGTGGTTAAAGATTGTTAAATTTCAGAACGTTGTGCTTCCATCATTACACTCCCATGAAGCACATCGTGCACTCACTCATGTGGTGCAAGAATTCGGACGGGGTAGAGCTGCAAAGTTTGAGTGCCAGTGTCACGCTGTTGCATTTTGTGAGCATTTTTTACATTTTATGGTTTCAAATAATGTCAAATTCTTCAGTTGTGGGGATTATTTAACATACATACAAACATACAAAAACAAGGTGAGGACACGTGTAATGACAGTGTTTTAAATACCGTATCTGCCCCTGTTATTTGATGGCTCCTCTTCTATTATTTTGCATGCATAGCATCCACTGAGAGACAGAGACATTTTGTAAGAGAGTGAAGGGGTTTGGGAAGCTTCATGAAAGGATGGTGAAAATGTTCAGTGTCATTAAAGATGTATGTGATCTGTTTCAGTCTCCACAGAGACGTCAGCTGATCAGAAGCTTCTTGTAATTCAGCCTGACACGAACAACTCTGCTTCTGGGGAGAAGGTGAAGTTTGTTTGCCCGCTGATCCTTAAGCTGGAGTCTCCAACACCCAAAGTTGATCAATCGGAGAAGCCTGCTCAAGCCGAGCCTCAGCAGGCCAGTGTCAGCACAGCTAAAGGCACTGCCTACAGTCCATCCCCATCTGATGGCGCTGCGACTCCTGCACACACTGGAGTGTGGGAGTGGGTCCACGCTCAGAAGGAAGCAAAGAACCATCTCCAGATGAAATTGAAACTCACATCTCCAGATCCAAAGCTGCTGCGTCCCTGCGCAGTGCAGCTGGTAAATGTTCTCACGTTGCCTGAATCAGACATTCAGGGCGACGCTGCCAAAGCTCACAGCGTTGACCTCAAAAACGGTTGGCCTGTGCCAAAAGATCTCCGCCGTCATCAAGGTCTTCACACTGGCCATCGCCTGTGCTGCTTCACCAGATGCGCAAATGACACATGGCGCCTCCAAACGGTCATCAGTCGCTCCCGAGATGGATACTCTTGCAGCATCTGCGGGAAAACATTCAGCCGGAGGAAGATCCTCCGGCGGCACAAGCGCTTCCACACCGGAGAAAAGCCGTATTCGTGTTCTGCGTGCTCTAAAACGTTCGCCCTGCGAAAGAGTCTCCGCCGCCACTCGAGGTTCCACACGGGGGAGAGGCCGCACACCTGCACGCAGTGCGGTAAAAGCTTTCGGCTGCGAGACAACCTAAAAGCGCACTTGAGGTTTCACTCCGGAGAGAAGCCTTTCAGCTGTGCCACGTGTGGCAAGACGTTCAGGATCATGAGGAATCTAGAGAAGCACAAAGTGAACCACTGTGAGCTCTTCGTTCCTTCATTCAGAACGATCGCCGGCTTAAAGCTGTAGGAACAGCTGTGAGCAGCCACACGGATGTCTACCTCACACTGAAGACACTATAAACAGAAGCTGTCCCGAGAAACTTAAAGAAGAGAAGTGAAAGTCATAAGATTGCTTATGTTGATTGTTTATTTGGAGTTGTCCTAAAATAACTGGGGTTGTAATTGGATCTTAGGAGCTTGAGAAAAGAAGGCAGCTGGACTTCTTTAGGTTTGGAAAGACGTTTCACATCCAAGAAGATGTCCCGGGTATTGACACCATAGTCGCTGACATGGGACATTAAGGGTGAAACCACCTCCCAGGGCCAATAACCCCAATATGGTTTACCTGAGGCTCTCCACCTTCTTGTTTTTGAAACCAAAGCATCTTTCTAAACTTAAAGAAGTTCAGCTGCCTTCTTTTTTTTCTTCTGTCCCACCTCCTATGACGACCAATGACCTGAATGACTGCCATTTTTTGGGGGGGAGTTGTACTACAAAAATTTTTTTTGGGGGGGGGGTTCTGCTGTAATTTGTGTGTTTAGTTCATGCCATAGTTTTTGTGATTGTGGGTTATTAATGGGGCTGCAAGACTGCAACTACTACACATGTTTTGGCATTAAACCTCCTGAGAAACGCACAATCAAATTGCAGGGAAACCCACCCGCCACTGCACAGTTAACCAGCTTACAAATGCTCTGGTGCTCCTTGGAGATGGAGATGTTATAAATGTCTTGAAACACAGCGTTAATGGGTAGACCTGAGATATCTGGTGGTTGTCTGTATTGGAAAGCCTACGGTTCTCCACCTCTCAACATTTCATGTTAAATGATGTGCTTTTATACACTCTTATCTTTTATAGATTTGTTTTTCAAGTCTTTGTTTTTGTTTTAATTAACACTTATGTCACTTATTACTGACTCTTTGACTTTGTAGCACGTTACGATTATTCGCCGTCTGTAGATGTCTTGCTCTCCATGACCTGTATGTTTCATGGTGACTTTATAAGTTAAAACGTAACAAATATGCTCTCGTCTTCATTTAAGGGACGGGTTTTTTTTTTTTAACTACATGTGCATTGAATAACATCTTGTTTTCAGTGTTTTTAATAACTTTTTCTGATGAACATTTGTCTCTTGTATCAATAAAAAAAAATTTTTTTTAAGTTTATTTTGTGTGTGAAGATCAAAGCATTCAAACCAATGTAAATACAAAATGCAGCTTTTAATGCTGATTTCATTTATTATTGGGAAAGGCGGCTATTTAAACCCACTTTATGAAAAACTAATTGCCCCATAAACCTAATAACTAGTTGTTCCACTCTGGGCAGCAAGAACTGCAATCAAGCCTTTGTGATAGCAGGCAATGAGGTTTTTAGATGGCAGTGAAGGAACTCTTGTTTGTATAATTAATTTAATTCAGCCACATTGGAGGAGTTTTGAGTATGAAGAGCCTGCAAACTGATGCTTTTTAATATTTGGGTCATTCAGAGGTGGACTTGCTAGGAGCGATCGTGGCTCAAAAGTTGGGAGTTCGCGTTGTAATCGGAAGGTTGCCGGTTCAAGCCCCAGCTTGGACAGTCGGTTGTTGTGTCCTTGGGCAAGACACTTCACCCGTTGCCTACTGGTGGTGGTCAGAGGGCCCAGTGGTGCCAGTGTCCAGGAGCCTCGCCTCTGTCAGTGCCCCCCAGGGTGGCTGTGGCTACAATGTAGCTGCCATCACCAGTGTGTGAATGTGTGAATGACAGGTTGTGTAAAGCGCTTTGGGGTCTTTAGGGACTAGAAAAGCGCTATACAAATACAGGCCATTTTTTTTGTTGATGTGTTTTCCTGGTAGAGAGCAGAATTTATTGTTCCATTAATTACAGCAAAGCAGCCCCAGACCGTCACACTACCACCACCATGTTTGGTATGATGTTATCTTTATGATGTCCTGTGCTGGTTTTATGCTAGATGTAAAGGGACTTAAACCTTCCAAAAACTCTTGTCAGTCCACAGAATTTTTTGCTGTTGACAGATGTAAGACGATACTTTGTGTTCTTTTCAGTCAGCAGTGGTTTTCTCCTTGGAGCTCTCCAATGGATGCCATTTTTGCCTTGTCTGTTTCTTATTATTGCATCGTGATCACTGACCTGCACTGATACTGTAATTCTCTCATCACCCACAATCAGTCATGACACATGGTCGCCCCTCCCTGAGCCTGGATCTGCTGGAGGTTTCTTCCTGTTAAATTCAAGTTTTTCTTTCCCACTGTTGCCAAGTGCCTGCTCATAGGGTTGTTTTTTTATTTATTTATTGTTGAGGTCTCTATTATCTGAGGGTCTTACAATATAAAGTGCCTTAAGGTGACCTGTGATTTGGCAGTACATAAATAGAATAGAATGGAGCTCAATGAAAGTGAGGTTTGCAGTTCTTTTTGTGTTTTTTGTGACCACCTGGAAAAGTCATTGATGTGTTTTTGGAGTAATTTTGGAGTCCAAGTTTTCTCCATTTGTGGATGTCTCTCACCCTGATTCACTGGAGTCCCAAAGCATTAGAAACCGCTTTGTAACCCTTTCCAGACTTATTGTCACTGAGTTGGCTTCTCAGAAAAAAAAAAAAAAAAAAATAAGAAGTGTGAAATTTCGGTCGCAGGGTTATTACTCGGAGAGGTTATCTGCGTGTTTAACCGGCATGTTCTCTACAGAGTTCCTCTGAAAACAACTGAAGTTTTCCTGACAGCGGAGGACGAGCGCTGACATGAAAACTGGACGAGCAGAACAAAGTGGAGGAAGGACATGGCTTTCAAAGAGAGCACCAGGACCCTGTCCTTCAGTATTATATACTCCCTTTTATTAATCAGTTAGAGATAACGTGAAATTACCGATGACCACTATTTGAGTTCATTCAGAGGGTTTAGTTAGTAAAATCTACCATTTTCTTTATTTTCTTGTTCGTGCTTTTTTTCTAAGTGTCGGTAATTAACTGAGTCAGCACAACTGACTGACGCTTTTAGTTTGACTGGGTTGATTATCTGAAAAGTGTAAAAACACAATGGTAAGTTAGGGATAAGTACGCACAGTACCTGGAAATCTTTGACTGACAGTTTAAAATCTAGCACCGACATTAACAGAGTGTGACTCGGTATTTTAAAAAATAAGGCTACGTTGACGCAACCGGAAACACGTAACGAATAGTCCACGTAAGCCCCGCCCACCAGGAAGTATGAAACATAACACTGAGGTGCTTTCACTTTTAGCAATGTATGTAGCGAAGACAGAAAACGAATAATCCCGACAAGCCTCCGACACCTTTTGGATAACGAGGTAGGCATTAAATCTTCGAGTGCCTTCATGCTGAGGTTGATGGTTTATTCAAAGCAAACTCAACAGGAAGTGTTTAGACCCACAGTAGTGTGACGCTGGAAAAAGTTTGCATGTCACGCCTTCCTTCTTGCTCTTTCCACGCTCGCTGTCACTCGTATTTTTTATTTTCAGAGATGGAAGATGCAGAGGAAAGCCGGATGGAGGAGATGCTCATGTGTCCAGTGTGCCAGGACATATTCAAGGATCCTCGGCAGCTGCCCTGTGGACACAGCATGTGTATGACATGCCTGGAAGGCCTGATGGATCACTCCTCAGACGTCCCATTCAAGTGTCCAGACTGCAGGGCGCATTTTGGTCAGGTTGTTACTGTGCAGAAGAGCTACGCGCTGGCCAGCATCGCAGAGGACTTCAGGCTGAGCAGGAGGACCAGGGTGCCCACTAGATGCACTTTTTAGAATCTCAAATCTGTTTGGCAGTCTTAAAAAGTGTAAACAACTCTGCGGGACTGCAATACATCATTCTTCATGTCAATATCTGACATTTTCTCCCCAGGAAAAGCAGACAAAATGTGTGTACTGCGACTACTGCCCAGAGAAAAACATCTTGGCTGTCAAGACATGTACAAAGTGTGAGGTGTCGCTGTGCAAAGAGCACGTCAAGGACCACCAGAAGCTGCCAGTGTTCACTGGGCACCCTCTGGTGGGACCGCTGAGCGACCTCGCAGAGAGGAGGTGCCCACAGCATGAGGATGAGGTGCTGAGGTACTACTGCAAGTCATCCAGACGCTACATCTGCAGCATTTGCACACTGGAGGGCAAGCAGCTTAACGTGGCCACTGAGACCTCCACTGTCCTACGGAGACAACTTACCGTGAGTTTAATAACCATCTTGGACTCAATGTTGCACAATCAGGTTATCTTGATTCATTCATTGACCTCTTAAAATCCACCTGGTCACGGGCAACCAGTCTAGGGTTAGGGGTAGGATCATTTCAGCTGTACTGCTAAAATGAATGTATGAGACTAACAACTTCATATCTGCAAATATATCTGTTTAATATGTGAGTAAAACAAAATGAAAATCTGAATCGCAGCCTAAGACTGATTGCTATTTATAGATGTTAAGGCAATTTAAGGTAATATTGTGTGTGCATTTGACAGGAATACATGGACCAGCACTTTAAAACGCTCATGGATCAAATCACAGAATCCAGCAACACTGTAAGAAAACTGCAAGAAGACATTCATCATAACGTGAGTCCTGTTTCCTGACATCTTAATATCTCATTTCAAGGTGTTTACAGTTTGTTCCTGTGGCTAATGTCCTTTTCTTTGAACCCAGAAACAGAAAATGAACTCCATCAACGGTGTCACCATAGTCCTGCTCTTACTCTGGTTCATAGTTCTCTATTACGGTAATAGAACCCCGAGCCCCTTGTTCTTGTGTTTCTTTTGTGTCTATGTGTAAACTCACTCACGTCTGCCTTTTCTTTCTTTCAACCAGCCTACAACTTCTCTGTGGAGAACCAGACGCTGACAGAAGCGCTGGACGAGCAACAGAACCGCGTGCATGACATCTATTCCACGATCGCAGGTAAGGAGGGTTCAAGTGTCCATTTCACTGATGGAGTTATGCAGTGCAAATCTTTCTTTGTCAGCCCTGCATTGTTTGCTGGGTGCTAATCTAGACGCTACCCCTGCTTCCAGTCTTTATACTAAGCCAGGCTAACGTTCTTCTGAGGCTTTCATATCCATCTCCTGGCAAGATAGTGAATACCGTATTTCTTAAAGTCAAAATGTTCATGTCTGTGTGGTAATGCAGGGCTGAACAAACCTTTTATCTGCTTTTTTGTAAACTATAATTACTAAACTCTAATTCTGTTCCACTCAGAAGTCTGAATAACATTTATGTATCCCTCCATAGAAAGTTTGGTTTATCATTCCATGAAAAGCTACAGACCTAAAGAAACAGAAGATCAAGGTAGGACTGGCATGAGGTTATTTTTTTTGGTAGCATTTGCGTGTGTGTGATTCTGTCTGTTAAGCTTGATAGCTTGAAAAGTTTTGAATGAATTCTGGTAAAGCTTTGCAGGGGTGTACAATTTGTTTGGCTTACATCCATCAAGGTTTTCAGGGTCAACTGATTTAATGGATGAAAACTGACAAAACGTGTTATAACTTAGAAACTGTTTTAAAATGTGGTGTGTATTCTCAAGATATATAAAGTACCATATAATGATTTAAAGTCATTCAATTCAGTTTCACTTATATGGTGCAAAATCACAACACCTGTCACATTTGACCTCTGACCTCACTTTTACATTTGCACTGTATTGCTTGTGTTGAGACAACTGTGAGTGTGGCAGAATTAGGAGAAACAAGAATATTGAGATTGAGTTATTGAAAGTAAGACTGCAACATTTATTGAATGGAAAACAAGATTGAGAATTAGGAAAAGCGCAGGTAGGTCATCTGGTGACCTCCTAATGGTTAGCTACGGTAGCTTTAGCTACAAAGCTAAGGTAATTGCTTTAAAGTCTTAATAGACTTTGATTTTGTCTTATTTGTTCTGTAAAGTGTTTTGAAAGGCACTTCTAAATAAAATGTATTATTATTATTTTAAAACTGGGGTAGCAACAAAACACTGTATGTAAATGTACTTATAGTCGTGTGTCTGTTTGTCAGGAGCTCTCATGTTGGACCTCAACACTGTCAATCACGTTCTTGGAGTGTCTGCTGATCTCAAAACAGCTGAGAGAGTGAACGCAAAGCTGGATTATCCCAACAGTAACAGCCGTTTCGATGAAGCCCCGCAGGTCCTCTCCTCCCAGTGCTTCTCCTCTGGTGTCCATGTCTGGGAGGTGGAGGCTGAGGGGCACTGGGACATTGCTGTATCCTACAAGAGCATCCAACGAAAGTGCAAGGAAACCAGCGCCTTCGGAAACAACACAGAGTCCTGGAGTCTTGTGCACAAAGGCAAAGGGAACCTGTTTGCCTGCCATAACAAAACCAAAACTCCTGTATCTCGTGCCTTGCAGAGCAGCCGAATAGCAGTGGTGGTTAATTTCGAGGAGGGCAGCATCTCATTCAGTGCTGTAGATTCCACCGTCACACAGCTGCATGAATTCAAGGCTGAACTGAGTCAGCCAGTGTGTCTGGGTTTGGGGCTTCATCACGTGGATCCACCCAGCCGAGTGTCCATTGTCAAAGCTTCCTGAATAATACCGCACACTGTCCCAACATTCAGACAACACTGTGTGCACACTGCCTCAAGTTCAGTGGCCTGAACCAAAGAGAAGATGCTTCAAAGCCAAATCACACCTCAGGAATTTATTTTTATATTGTGAAGCTTTATATGACATGCAAAGTGTGTTAAATACTTGATTTTCTGGTTGTAGATACTTATTTTTAATATAAATCTTCTTACAAGTCTTGAATAGCTTCCAGATATACAAATTGTAAGAATTTTAACATCTGACAATTCATCGTGCCACTTTTGCAACAAATATGCACCTTAACCCCGTCAGTTTTATTTAAGTACTGGATTATCGCTATATTTAAAAATACACTAAATTAAAGCAAAAATAGCTGCAAGAATATGATTTAAAACCTTTGAACTGATTACTTGTAAAATGCAGTTTGATCCATATCTGAGAGATATATGGGAACCAGAATAGATGACTTCTGAGACAACTGCAAGAAATCCATAAGTTTCGATCTCAGCTTTCCTTCTCTTCACGTCAAACGTGAGCTGACACATTTGATGTGGCTGAACATGCACGATGAAGAGTTTGCAGCTTTTTTGAGAAAATGAGCTCAGAACAACCTGAATCTGTAACCTTTTCTGAATAAAAGCCATGACAGGATAACTGTGAAAGCCAAAATGTAGTTTTGTCTCGGCACAATTAGATCAGAGTGAAAAGTCAATAAATTCACTTGGCATTTAAAGATTTGCCAACACAAGCTAGAACAGTCAAGTTAGGGCAACAGCACCAAAAACTGCATGTGTGTCTAAGTCAGCTGTGTATTTTTGCCTGCTCCCTTTAGGGATCGCCACAGCAGATCACCTGCCTCCATCTCACCCTTTCCCTAGCATCCTTACCTGCCACACCACATCCATGAAGCTCCTCTGAGGTCTTCCTCTTTTCCTCCTGCCCTGCAGCCATGGTGTGTAATTTACAAGCAGGAGAGTTAAAAAGCCTTTGTAAGCTGGCATTGGGGGAAAAGATGGACAGAAACAGAAGTTTGAGCAATTTGTCTCATTTATTAACAAAACATGGAGGTTGAGCATTCTTGAACAACTGTCTGATTATTTTTGAAGAAAAAGGCAACAATCAGTCTGGCAGGCCTCCGTACAAAACAGGTTATTACAGTGATACAAACGTTCTCTGCTAACAAAACAAGAGTCCATTCAGTTACAGTTTCTCTCTCTTCATACAAAAGGAATTAACACTTAAAAATGCCAAACCATTGATTTTAAACCTTGATGTAGAAAATCAGTGAGCACCGAACGAGTTGCTTTTGTCCTCTTTTGATCGTCAACAACTTGTAATAAACAACTAGAAACGAAGAGAGAGAATATTATTGTCTTGATCATATCTCACACTAGCTGCCGTAAGGCCCCTTGGTGCCTCACTAAAAATGGCACACATACTCATATCATTACACATTTATCTACACTGCATACATGCCTTTAGTAACAAGGTTAACACTACTGGGCTGTTCCATTACAGCAATACCAGCTGTCCTGAAAAACAACTGTGTTTCGTGTACAAATCGTGAAATGTATTTCTCTAACGCACCAGTTCTGCATCCACCCTACAGCTATCAACACATTCCTTGCGAAAACGAAGAAGTCTGTTGATGTGATGGACCGCAGCAGCTGTGTTACTTCACTGTTCCCATGTTCTGATTCTTTATGGAGCACCACGCCCTAAATACATCTCTGAAAGACAGAAAATATCATGTAAAAGAAAGTTTCTCTACATGTTGCTGAAAACAAAACAACTTCAGCTTTCACCTCTACACACCTGCAGTGAGTGGCCACACATTCATTACTGCAGTATTCTTTGTCCCAGTCTTCACTCTCTACTGCTGGGTTGTTGCAGCCTGCCCTTACGCACACAGTCTTCACTGCAGCGGTGTCCCGCGACGCACTCACCTCCATCTCCTGAAGAAAAAAGGGATTAATATCAGCAGATTTTACACAAGTCTAGGTTTGCCGCAGCTGTTTTTTCTCCATGTTACAATATGTTAAAATCAGAAGTGAGAATATATCTTTAATTTTGTTAGTTTTATTAAGAAAACTCTTGTGTCAAAGTCAGCAAACTCGCTGATATACACTACCAGTCAAAAGTTCTCATTTAATGGTTTTTCTTTCTTTTCATGACTATTTACATTGTACATTCTCTCTGAAGGCATCAAAAACTATGAATGAACACATAGGATGCTGTGGTAGCCATGCTGGTCTAGTTTTGAATAAATCCCCAACAAAGCACCCCCACACCATCACACCTCCTCCTCCATGCTTCACAGTGGAAACCATGAAGTATGGAGACCATCCATTCACCTTTTCTGTATCGTGGGCAGAACCAATGATCTCAGATTTGGACTCATCAGACCAAAGCACAGATTCCCACTGGTCAAATGCCCATCCCTTGTGTTTCTTGGCCCAAACAAATCCCGTCTGCTTGTTGCTTTTCCTTAATAGTGGTTTCTTAGCAGCTGTCTGATCATAAAGGCCTGATTTGCGCAGTCTCCTCTGAACAGTTGATGTGAGATGTGCTACTGGAGCTCTGTGTGCCATTTATCTGGGCTCTAATCTGAGGATGTTAACTTCACTGGCTGGTGACTTGGATGAATTTATCCTCAGCAGCAGAGGTGACTCTTGCTATTCCTTTCCTGGGACGGTCCTCATGTGAGCCAGTTTCGTCATAGCGCTTGATGGTTTTTGCGCCCATTCGTAGTTTTAGCAATTTTCCAGACTGACTGACCTTCAGTTCTAAAACTAATGGTGTACTGTTGTTTCTCTTTACTTAGCTGGTTGTTTTTTGCCATGATATGAATTCTAACAGTTGTCAAATAGTGCTGTCAGCTGTGTACTAAACTGACTTCTGCACAACACAACTGATGGTCTCAACCCCATTAAGAAGGCAAGAAACTCCACAAATGAACCCTGATAAGGATCACCTGTGAAGTGAAAACCATCTCAGGTGACTACATCATGAAACTCATCGAGTTGGTTTTTAAGAAATATAAAATATAAGACATATTTAGAGTTATCATTTTTTCTTGCTTCATAATTCCATATATCTTGCTTCATACATTTGATGTAGATACACACACCCCCGACCAATTTTATGAAATTACTCAAGCAATGCAAATCTGCATAGACTGATAAATCAAACAGGAATTTGTACTTTCCCCAAGTTGTGTATGTTATATTACAGAGGAGGTGAAAATCAGCAAACAGTTGTTGAACAGTCTTCCACTGTTCTTCTCCAAATATGGAGGGGAACGCTCCATTATTTACATTTTTCATTCATTCATTTAAAAATATGTCCAACTCAATTTCTGTGTGAAACACTCTGTGGAGTTTTAATTATTTTTGGAATTCCCTGCGTTTTGTCGGGTATTTCCATCAATTTGTAATAATAATAATAATAATGGATATTTAATCAGAGTAAAAAAGGGCAAAAACCTATGATGAAATCTCTGCTGTCTGCTGAAACAATAGGCAGAATAAATGATTGTTAGAATATTTGATATTAAAACATTAATTACAGTATTTGTTCTTCATTGGAATGAACTATACTCACTGAAGGGATATTATACCCTTAAAAAACTGAAACATACCTGTTAATTAAATCAACACAATTAGTCAGATGTGCTAACACCTGTAAAAGAGGATAAACCCCAAGTTTACTGAACCTTAAAAAGATCTAGCTTTACCTCTTCTGAAGGCAGCACTTCTGTAACATCGTCGTCGTCATCGTCGTCGTCTGCATGGCCTGACGTCTCAGCAGAATCGTCCTCTTGCAGCAGTGACACGACAGGTGGAGCCTGGGCAGGTGTGGTTTCAGCAGATGATGAGGCTGCTGTGCTAGGGACAATAATTGGCAGCGCCTGTTTTCCCTGAATGGGGGCAGGAACAATTTTTATCTGAAGTGGAGGAGGCGGTGTAGCTGTGACGGACACAGGGTGGCCTGGTGTTCCCTCACGGGGTTTGGCCTGTAAAGGTGGGGGCGCTGGTGCCATCTGCTGGAGCCGAGGTGGAGGCGGGGCATTCTGCATCTGCAGCAATGGAGGCGGCTGACGCGAGGCGTTCGATACCACGAGGGTAGGCTGCAAGGCACGGACCCCTCCAGGCAACACGGTCACCACCTGCCCGCCTCCCTGCAGAATGTGCTTGGGGATTATGATCTTGGTGATGGTCTGGGTCGGAGCGACTGAAGCTGCTGGAGCAGAAACTTTGTTTGCCCCCGTGCGGGAACGTGTGGTCACCTCTGGGACGTCCAGGATGATGTTGGAGGCACAGATGTTAGTAATGGTGTTCTCTTCCATGGTGCTGTTTGCCACACGGGTTCCCTGGTGACCAGCAGAGGGAAGGGCAGCAGGAGTCGAGTTAACCACAGGTGGAGGTGGCGAGGGGGCAGTTTCCATCTCCTCGGTAACAGGCTAGAATGAAGCCATATTAAATGCACGAGAAAAGTAAGTCCCAAGAAGCACAGCAATGGACTGGTTTTCTTTCAGAGACAACATGACGTTACCTGTGAGAGCTGGTTGGCTCTGTAAGCTGCGAGCGCTTTCAAATACTCTTTTTTGGCTGCTTCTGTCTTTCTCTTGTACACCTTATAAAAAAGAAAAAGAAGTTTGCTTGTGTTATATTGATGCATTTTTTCCTAAATTATTATAATAAATGCTGACATGCTAAAAAGGAGTCATTTTAAAAGGGGGATTCTACATATTCCTTCTTTGTTTGTCAGTGAAGGCATAACTATACGCAAACACCTGTTTCTGTTCCTCAGCCAGGCTGTCCCACATGGAGGCCACGATCTTCGACACCTCCCCGAAAGAAGCATTGGGGTTCTGGCCTTTAATCGCTGCCTGGGTGTCTCTGAAGAAGAGTGCGTACGCTGAAACCGGCTTTTGTGGCTCATTGGGGTCTTTCTTCTTCCTTCCTTTTTTCGCTCCAGCAACCACATTCGCTGATGCTAGTGTGGCAGGTTTACCCCCACCCCTCCGGGCTGTTCCAGGAGAAATGGATGATGGAAGAGCCAGGTGAGACGAAATGTTGGGGAGACCAGAGGAAGAGGAGAGAGACAATGGAGAGTCCACCAGAACACTCTTCTGAGAAGGGAGAGATTCAGTTGGAGAGATGGGAGAGCAGGCATTAGCTTCATCATCTCCAACACAGCAGTGACTGTTATTCACAGTGCAGGTAAAGTTTTCCACCTTCTCTCAATTTCTTCTATTTTCTTCATGTAACTCTTACTATATGTACGGTGTCAGATGTTCAAAGAAATTAAGCGATAAATGTATGTCAAGAAAAAAAAACGTACATCACTGAAGCTAAGGAGTAATTGCCAGCCCCCAAACTTATGAGCAAAATGTGGCACATTAAGCATCAACAACAGCAATCAAATGCTTTCAATAACTACAGATCGGTCTGACATTGTTACTCTTCTTTGCATGATCGCATTATTGAAGCCACATTGGAGAGTCTGTCAGTCTGAGCTGCTCTTCTCAGGTCAGAAGCTAACTGTAGGTATTGTTCCTGTGTGAAACCAGTATATAAATAATTAATTTAGCATTACCTATTATTTTCAATCTTAAAGAAAATCAGATGGAGTTTGTTCAGGTTATAAGTAAATTGGAAAAAATATATATTAGTCACGTTTAAGAAGATTTGATTTCCATTAAAACACAACTTTCCACAACATCCTCCTGAGAACCAAGGAAAAAAGAATATTCCCATTGAACTTTTTTTTTGTGATTTCCTTCCTCTTTGGTGCTGAAAGAGGCCCCCCAAACATATGACATACCAATGGAAGCCCAGGATGTCCTCTACTTAGTATATCAGGACTTAAATGGGGGCTGAAATAAATATGGACCAAAAAACCGAGGAGATAAATGATTGGGCTGGTTCTCAGGAGGATATAACAAGCCTCTCTGGCAGATGAACTTCTCTTACGTACGGTCTTTTTGCAAAGTTGTGAAGCCATAGCATCATTAAAAGGTGATCGGTTCATTCCAAGAATGGTCCTGAAGCAGTACTGATTATAATTGTTTATGTTACCAACAAGCCAAGATCACATTTTGCACCCCCTTCTTATCCTGGAGTGCTACTAGCAACATCTGCTTCTGGAAACAGATGAATCAAGTGCTAGGCCGGCCTGGGTGTTTTTATTCTAGCTGCAACCAATTATCTCAACATCTTTTTGTTTATTAGGACTTATTAATGGGACACTTTTTGTTCTTTTAAACTGGACGCAGTGTTTACTCAAGTTACCTTGTTTGATTTTGTGTTAACATAACCACAAAATTTTATATGTTTACTTCACTGTAAAAGTTGGATTATAACTAATATGCAAATAGTTTGTAATCTAAACTACAGTTCCAATACTACGTTGAAAAACGATCCAGGTGTTTCTTATTACCTTGAAGTCATCCATGTCCTCGTCCTGTAAGGAACCTGCTGGGGATGGTGTTGCTGACAGAGGCTGCTTGGGCGCCTCTGAAGGGTGGCCAATGTTTTCACCTCCCAGGCCCAGTGAAAGCTCAGACTGGTTAATAGTAGTAAGGTGACCACTTCCCAAAAGACTATGACCAATGTCACAGAGCTGAACATCAATGGTCATGGGGGAAGAACTGCTGAAATGAGAACCACCAGAGTTGCCCAGTTCCTGTGGAGACACAAAATACAAACTGTAAATAAACCTTTACAGCCCTCAACAAACAGTATTGTGTGTGCGAGTCCACAGGTGAGGTACTTACCAGGGCTGAAGAGCTCAGCAGGGCTCCTCCTCCTGACTGGCCCATTCCCCCGAGGCTCTGCTGCTCCAGGCCTTGAGAACCAGAGTTTACAAAGGTGGAAGCAAAGGAAGGGTCATTGGCTTCTACCACAAGGTTGCTAACAAGGCTACGGGAGCCCGAAGGTCCCCCGGTTCCCTCTGACAGCTCAAAGTGGGCCACCGCATCACTGATACCCAGCGATGGATCTGGATCAAGGGAAATCGGGGGGATCTCGAAAACTTCATCCCCCAGACTAGGAGTATGAAATGTCTGCTGTATGTGCAGGAGAAGAGGTAATGAGTTAGTAACTAATGGACTGACGAAGGTTCGGTATAAGCAAAACGTGTGACACTGTACCATCATGCAGTTTCATGCAACCCACTCACCTCTGAAGACAAAAAGGGGTGTCCTGCTCCACTGATGGTGAGATAACTGTCACTGCCTTCCGAAAACTTAAAAAACAAACAAGCCAAAAAAAACCCACAGATAGTTAGCTGTAAACTGCCGGTTCGATACCGTTAGTCTAAGAGACCTTTCATAAAAACACCGGTGTCGGTGAGTTACCTTATTTCCTTGGGAGTATCCACCATATGCTTGGGAGTCCAAAAACTCTGAGTCAACATTTTGAGCACAACCATCCGAGAGCTCAGAGTAGAAATTGAGATCCATTGTGAAATAAATTACTAGGTAAGACTACCCCACACACTGTTCAATTTGTTTAAAATGGGATATTTTTTTAAACACACACCAATTTAGAGCAGCTACGCGTGTAGTAACTAAAGGTGCTAGTCGCTAGCTAGCTAAACACTGCTGACTACCATCACGTTGAGTTCGAAGAGATGTACCTTCGTCGTGAAGCTCGGGGGAAACTAGGATAAGGGGAGTGATTCAAAGTTCATAGGAACCAAAAACTCGCATATTAGTTAAATATTATGTGTTATATTATAGCCTCGCAAGGCAGAGTTTACCGGAGGCCCAAAACACACCCATTCAAACACCGGAGACCTACTGCTACTGCTGTGACTAGCGCCCCCTCCTAACCGACAGCAGTATGTCGTGCTAGATTCACGGGCCGTGGGAAAAATTGTAACTGTCACGTGTAGCGGTGCCTGTGTTCTGTTTTGTTTTGTTGCAATCTGACAGCTATGAACGAATACCACATGAGCTTGTTTAGAAAACGAAAGAACAGGTGTTTCGCTTTTTTTGTTCTGCGTATAGATTTTTTTGGTCTAGAGGAAAGCACTCAAATGTCCAATGAGTCTTTAACCATACCTCACACCCGATGTCCCTAATCAGACTATTCCAATATAAAAATGATATATCAGGATTATTATAAGGTAGTATTTTGTAGGTATTACATGTAGTGATTTAAAATTAGTTCAAAAGTCACTTCCAAACAACCAGTGATCCCCTTCATTAACTAGTTCAGTGCTTGTTTGCTTTCATTTTATTGGCTCGGTTGTAATATTCATGAGCCCTTTATTTCATCTTATTTTTTAGAAATGCAATTGTCTGCTCTAAACACAAAACCTACATTTACTGTCTTGGTGCTATTGCTCATCTTTAATTCTTTGTGAATATCAATATACTTCTCAATTCTAGCCTACTTATAAAACTATGGTACATATCCCAACATAATGGACAGTAACAGCAATTTGAGAAATGCAGGAAGTTTTAATCACCCCTCACCTATTTTGTAGTTTTTCCTCAAAGTCAGTAGCAACAACTTGAAAGATCCCCATTAACCACTTTAAACATTACTGACGTTTGCTAAACTTATGTGATTTCTATATGCAAAAAAATATGTCCTTAAAGCAGCTAATCAAATTTGGATATTTGCTTGATTCCAAGTTCTTTTATGGTGGTGTGAGTCATAGAGGTGGGAATCACCAGACAGCCCACAATATGATATCACAACATGTAACTCAGGATACAATATCGCAGTTGTTAACATTTTGCAATATGCCAAGTGTTGCGCTAACATATATTGCAATCTATCACTTTTTTTGAAATTGCAAATTATGTCCTCAAAGTTAAACTTTGTCAGTATCTATTTTATCCACTAGGATAAATTTCAGTTATTTTTTTGACTGTCAAATGTTCCAACACTGTCACTAAAACCGGCCATAAACGTTGCCATAAGCCAGAGTCAGCCTGCAGTTAGAGCGGCAATTACATGCAATCTGTTTCTGATAATACAACAATTAACTGTGAGAAATCAAGGAAATATTACAGTTGTCTAAATAGACAGAAATTTACATTTAACCACTACATTTGTACTCAGCAACCTTCCTGTTTTATAGAAATATAACCAGTGAGTTGAGTTCCCTTGAGTTGTCCTTGTTGACAAAGACTCATTCAGACTGCATTTATCAAATCAAACAGTAATTATGTGCAATCCTTTAACAATCTGAGTGTGACAGTAGCCAGTGCAAATCACACTGTGACCGTTTGCATAAACGTTGCATCCGATCAGGCGACATGAGGCCTCGTTTGTAATGTTCCCAGAGTATTTTAATGTATTTTACAAAACATTACCGTATTGATACAATATTACGATACCACGCTGTATTGACTCTTTTCCCTTCCACCAGTGAATAGTATGTACGATCACGCTACGGGGACCAAAAAAAAAAAAACCCCAACTTAACCATTAATCTCTCTTTCCACCACTATCAGCATTTACTGAATGCAATTATTCCCCTTTTAGCGAAGGATTTTAATGAACCAATTTTATCAAATCCGAGTTATTTCTCAGGCTTCCTGTCCCAACTTAAGGATTTCCTCACGCTGCTCTGTTATGTAAACCTTAATCGCAGCCCAATCCTCAGGAACACCTGTATCCTAAAAACACACTAAGCTCAAGTTGCACCAAATATAGTGTTTGCACATCCGTGTTACATCATTATTTTCACACATTTAGCCTCGAGACAGAGTAAACTTCACAATAAATACTACTTTAGTTTCCAATATAGCTTAATAACTGCATAACATATCTCGGTTCAGGGGAAACGGGAATAATTGGAGCTCTTATACATCATCGTCTGCTGTAATCAGGGCATGACTATTAAACAGGAGGACATTATGTGTACAGACAGCAAACTTCCTTATTGCTTCAGCTGAGTGGAAATCGCAATAACACACACAAACGTGCTTTCACTGTAGATTGCTGTTATTCATATCACAGATACAGTCAGGTCATAAAACAAGAATAGTAACTCAATGCCGTCATCTTTGCACCATAGTACACAATTGACCAGCTCTACATTGTACAATACACCCATCCTCCTATTACGTTTCAGTAACTAATAACGCCACTTTCCCCTCTCCCTCCCTCCCTCTCTACCCCTAACCCTCCCATAGAGTGAAAACACTAACAGTACATCCATAAACTGGATCCCCTTTAAAGTTCACAGACTCGTTTGGACAAAACGAGACCCAGGGGAGATTGTGGGATCTGGCTCTGCTCAGTACACGTCCAGTTTCATGTAGCGCTAGAGGACCAGCTTTGAGGTTCTTAGATAAGAAAAGTGTATCTGTACAGCAGGGGTCCCCTTTTGGTCACGGCTGGGAATGTGATGGGAATTCGTAGGTTTTAGAAGGAAGTAGAGGACAAGGACCAGTTGACAGGTAAGAAAGCTCAGCTTTTTGCCGTTTTATCAGAGGTTAGAGAGGAAGATTGAGGAGAATAAGGACCAGACACGATTGTGAGGGGGGGAAAAAAAACCAAACAAACAAAAAATAAATTGAAGGGTGCAAATCTGCTCCTCACATGGAAAAAAAAAATCCTATGTAAAACAAATGAAAAGATGTAGCAACAAATAAACCCTGAAACAAATTCATCCATAATTTGATACATAATGATAAAAATAAATGATTAGGAATAACATGATTTGTTTTGGAAAAGGGGACTAAGTCAGATGTGTTTGGAGAGGAGGGTTCAGTCAATCCTCTGAGCTTGATGAGGAGTCAGAGTCTTTCTGTGCTATGATAACATCGTCCAATAGCGCTTCCTGATCCGAGCTGTCATAGTCCCCCTGTGAAAGGCTGTCTCCTCCTTCCATTTTAACATCAAAGTCTGGACTGGTGAGGAAGTGATGAGAGGACTCCAGGTCCTCCTCGTCCATCATGTAGGCTCCATCTGACACCAGAGTCTCCTCTTCAACTCCGTCCAGGTTGGGGTCATCGGGGGTAGGCTCTGGAGTGTGGTGATGGTGGTGGTGGTGGTGGTGGTGATGGTGGTGATGATGACGGCGACGGCTTTTCTTCGGGATCTCCGAGTGCTCCGTTAGCAGTCGGTGGAACAGGGTCTCCGGCAGAAAGCCCTGTGAGAAAAAGCAAAGAATCAATATTATCTGAATTAATATGAATAATTCATCGAGTCGGCACAAAAATCAGAGTGAAAAATGATCTGATTCATTGAAATTTATCATACAACTGTTGTGAGAGGCAATTTACTGCCATCTGGGTCATCATCTGACGCCGTCATTTGTGCTTAATTATAGCATCAAGATCATTTTAAGCACAGCACCGCTGCGAGTGTGGTGCAAAAGCTTTGGCTTTGTCCTGAAGGTGGTCAGCAAAATCAAATGTGCATGCTTTAGCCTTAGACTGCTTTATTTCCGACAAGCTGTGCCTGTGATGCTAGTAGATGACTCGCACTCTCTGGTTTTCTCATTTGCAGTGCTCTTCATAGGTTACATTTGTTATTACTCTAACAAAATGACTGAATTCATCTTCATAAATTGGCACAATGAGCACAGAGCTTTCCACCTCCATTGGTGCCTCTTTGCAATTGCAGCGTCACAATTGCGCCCTACTTTGTTATGAATAATTAATAATGACGTCGACCCAATGAAGTATTAGAATTATCAATAAAGATGTAATCTAATCACAAGAGTCATGTAAAATTATAGCATCTTTAATACATACAGAATTCCGAACAGTTTCGGACCACTCCGGTGCTACAGCGTTGTCGGGATTCTCCTCCAGATATTCTCTCAGTTCTTGCAACATTGGACAGAAAGCAGCTCCAACCTACAGAGAAACATTTGCATGCTTGTTAGCGAGGGGCATCATAAAGCCTAAACGTAAACATCACCAGTCTACGCTTGTGTGCAACTGCGCCCCACCTTCTTCCCTGTCCTCATGTTGATGAGTTTGACCTTCTCATTGCCTGTGATGGCTTTATCTGCCCTCCTCCTTCTCTTCCTCTTGCTCCGGTTCACAAGAAGCTGAAGAAACAAGATATGATGAAGCATAGTCCCGTACCCGTTTCGCCACAAACTGTCACCAGGGTTTGTTTATGAACCAGGACATGAATAAGAGTCATGAATTTACCTCCAGCATGTCTCCCTCCACTTCATAATCTGGGTTTTCCTTCAGCCACGTGGGCGGGTCCCTGCGACGAGGCATCCGCTCCAACGGATCGTGGAGTCCATCCATGTCAGAAAACTAAAAAGAAAGGAAGAGATATGATGATAAGATTATGAAGTGATATCAAACACTGCTTGGTTTCTGTTGCAGAGGAACATGTAAACCTGACTCTTGTACCTCTTGGTCCTTGCGCTTCTTCCGGCCACTGGCTTCTCCTCCTGACCCATTGGGCATCAAGGCCTGCTTGGAGAATGTGAGCTTCAGGCCCTCCTCCTGGCAGAGTGAGAGGAGGTGGTTTGTATTTTTAAACACAGACTACACATCACAGTCAACAATATTTTAGCAACTTGCATTAACAGTCAACAGACTGCTTCAGGTAAGCTGAACAGAATTTGCCGGTGTATCCCTACAACAATTCTAATGTCTCAACCTTATTCTCACCTTGAGGAGTTTTACAGTAAATTCGCCATCTTCTCCATCTGCCCCTGGGACGGCAGGCATGATGGGGGGTTTACGCATCACCCGTGTGTAAGCCATCTCATCTCCCACCAGCTCCGAGTTCGGGTTGAGCTGAGCTTCAGACACGTAACGCCGGCCCGAGGGCCACTGACCGGTCAGCACGAGGGTGCACAAACTGTCCAGGCGGTTGATCAACACACGGTCCTGAAACAAAAATAATCCCATGAGTGAGTCTTTTACCGTGACAAAACCCCACACATGTATGGATTAAGTGGCCATAAATTACCTTGGGCCAGTCAACTCTGAGGGGATCAGGAGGAGGAATGCCATCCTGAGACGTAGTCATGGAGAGTAAACTATTATCTTCATCCACATCGCACACCTTCATTCCTGTATAGATTGAAAAGAGTAACTTAGCACACAGGTCATTTCTATCTCCCGCCCCACTCAGCATTTTTTCTTTTAACTACCAGCTCACCTCCTTCTACCTCCGCCTCACTCTCTCCACTATCATCGCTGCTACTCGATCGATCTGAGGACGACGAGCCCGAATCAGAGTCTGAATCCGAGTCAGACGCTCCCTCCCCCTTCCTTCCCCCTTCCGTTTTCTCTCCCCGCACCTTGCTCCTCTTGAAGCTCCAGCCCTGACCTCGCATTTTGCCGTCATGGTGACTCAAGGGCGTACTCTGCAATCCAGCGGCGATTTCACCTGCGAGCAACCCAATATTCTCATCGGTTCCCTCCTCTTTCACCCCAAGCATGTGCTCCTCAGTCTTGGGCTGGCTGAGTGTCATGATGGGTGGTGCCTGGGGTGGTGGAGGTGGAGGGGGAGGTGGAGGAGGTGGGGCCTGCTGGTTCTGGATGAACTCATCACGGGCCTGGCTGAAAGTGAACTGTGGGTCTGCGAAGATGGAGAGCTCAGTGCGGCTGACGCCGTGCAGTGATGCGCCCAGCATTAGCTGGCGATCGTGCTCTGGAATATTCCACCAAGCAGGGAGCTCGGAGGTGGATGGAGCCAGAGCGAGACGTTCCTCCAGGCAGGGGTGGGGGAGGACTCGCTCACGAAGGCGACGCAGGAGGCTGATACGGTAAAGAGTACGGGAAGCGCGTTCTTCAGTGATGGGAGCCACAGTCTGGGTAACCTCTGCTGGATCTGAATAAGGTGAGCGTGAAATATGTTAAATCATGTGGTAGATATGGTAGGACACTGACTACAACATACGGGGGGGGGGGGAAGAAGAAGCCAAGCATCAATCAATTAGTAATTACCTTCACGGCCTGGACGCAGGTGGCACACCCTCCGGCACATGGCGACAAAGGAACGGAAGTATCGACTGAGGCTCTCATCGGTTTTTTTATCTAGACGGGCAAAAGTACGGAAACGGGTCCAGTCAAATTCTGGCTCTCCTCCTTCAGGAAGACCGGGCTCCTTTTTGATCTTCTCCACACCGAAAGTTGACACCACGCGGTAGAAATCACATTCTTCCCTACGTGTCCACCTGGAAGAAACAGAAGAGAAAGGGGTCAGAATGAGGACGGTATTTTGTATAACTGATTCTGAACTAAAATGGAAAATACTTAAATCTCTTTACGTGTTTATAATGTGACATGGTAACTCAGCATTTCACCTGTAAAAGGTAATATTTCCAAAATCTTAAGCAAGATTTACAAAATAGTGATTTGGTGGGATTAAAGCTTTTACTACTGTGTGTTGAGACAGTAATATAGCAGAAGTATACCTTTGCTGTCGCTCCTGCCGTGCAATCTCCTTCAGCTTGCTGGCCTGTTCGCACCGCCTGCGCCTGCGGTCACCCTTCGCTTCGGCTTCAATCTTCAGCTGCTCTTGTCTGTAGCTGCGCTGGTAAGCTGTGATCAACCGCCGCAGCCGTGCTGTGAGCGATGAGCTTGAGGGCCATTCGCAGACACCGCTATGGCTAGCTGAATTTTCTATGATCACTGGTGGAGGTGCCTTATCTTCCACAGAAATCTCCTCGTCCACATTCATGGACTGGAGGACAAAATAAAAATTTGTTAGTGCTATCATCCAAATCTATGACATTAGAACAGTGCTGCCACATCCAAATGTGATGGGTCTGATATGTACCTCCTCAAAAAGATCTTTGGTGTGTCTTGATGCAGGCTTAAATTCTGGGTCTTCTGAGTACTTATCATAGTCACCCCTGCATTTAAAAAAAAAAACAAAAAAAAACAAAAAGAAGGAAAAGTAAACAATGCAATTATGCAGTAATCTAATTTAACTTAAACACAGACATTTGAAACTTTCAAAACTGACAGAAATGTGAAACTGTAAAAGCTCACAGTTAATTTGAAAATCTGCTACAAATCTATAAGCAAATAACTTCTAAAATCGGCCCAGTTTGCCAACGACACTCACTCGTCTCCCAGTTCAGCATCACCAGTGTGCTGCTCGGCATCAATGGCCTTGTCATCAGGCCGGCCGACTCTCTCCAGGAAGCAGAGGCAAGGATCAGCGCGCATGGTCGTGTACATCTCATAACCTAAGAGCAGGGAAAAGTCGAGGCTGTTAAACGCTAAATCTTTGACCACCAACACAGAGCAAGAACTGAGCCTGTCTTTAAACCACAATAAGATCCTCACACTGAACCCACCGTGCTTGAATACACCAGCCAGCAGTGAGCGGTCTGCGTCAGAGTCCCACCATCCTGCGGGCACCTCTTGTTGCTCCATCTCAGGCATCCAGATATCAACATCCCTGTGAAGAAAAAGAAAACAATGTATGATATATGGCCAGGACTGGCTGCTGTTTGTGTGCGCACTTGTCTATATATATATATATATATTAGATACCTGATATCAGCTCCTTTCAGGACAGAATCAGAATGTTCACCAATAACTTCCTGTTTCAGGTAGTATAGCATACGCACCCTCAGCAACACCCTGACATGGGAGAATAGAGGTTTATATCCATGGTGAATAATCTATACAAATATACATACACACAGCTGACTGGTTCACTAACTTGTTGCACTGATGCTTGAGGTGCTTGCGGTAGCTGTCGTCAAGCAGCAGGGTATCAGGGTTGTACTTGCGGATCCACTCCACCTTCTGTACATCAAATGTACTCTGGGCTTTTACCCTCTTGCCCTTTCTGCCTCTAGGGACAGGAATAGAAAGGCCTAGACACACAAAAAAAAGAATAAATACTGCTATTCAGCTTTTACACAGATTAACAGATTTGCTCTTTAACAAGCTAGGAACCACAGTTAGGTCCATAAATATTTTATACAGAGAACTTTGTTCTAAATTTGGTTCTGTTCATTACAACAATGATGAAACGACTCAGATTCAGGTGAAGTGCTTCTGAGTTGTAGTTTAGCTTTAATTCAGTGAACAAAAAGATTGCATAAAAATGTGAGGAGCTAAAGCATTTTTTTAATAACACAATCCCTTCATTTCAGTAAAAAGTAATGGGCAAATTAAATAATTGCAAATAAAATGTTCATTTCTAATAATTGGTTGAAACGCTTTGTTGGCAATGACAGCCTGAAGTCCTGAACTCATGGACATGACCAGATGCTGGGTTTCCTCTTTTTTAATACTCCACCAGGCCTTTACTGAAGCAGCTTTCAGTTGCTGTTTGTTTGCTTTCTGTCTCAAGTTTAGTCTTCAGCAAGTGAAATGCATGTTCAATTGGGTTGAGGCCAGGTGAGTGACTTGTACATTCGAGAATATTCCACTTCTTTGCTTAAATAAACTCCTGGGTTACTTTGGCTGTATGTTTTGGGTAATTGCCCACTTATATTATAAAGTACCACACAATTAATTTGACAGCATTTAGCTGGATTTGAGCGGACAGTAAGTCTTTGAACACCTCAGAATTCATTCAGCTACACCAGCGCCTTCTTTCTCTCTCAGGATGTACTAAACTGTAGAATCTTCCATTTGTAATATTGTATCAACGTCTCTGATGTTTTTTTTTCCCCAGCAGCTTTAGGATAGTTCATTTCTCCTGCACGGAGAGCTTCTTTGACTTCATGTTGTCTGTTCACAGCAAAATCTTCCAAATGCAAGCGCCACGCCTCAAATCAACTCCAGGCCTTTTATTGATAATGATTTAATGAAGGAGTTGCCCAAACCTGCTCATGAAACAGTCTTTGAGTCAATTGTCCAATGACTTTTTGTCCCTTTAAAAAGAGGGCGCATGTTAAGGAGCTAAACTCCTAAACCCTTGTGGATATCCTCAAATGAAAGTTGAGTCTACACATTATGTCTATTATATACTATAACTGGAATATGTTTCAATAAATGGGTAAAAAACAAAAACAAAACCTGTGTCAGTGGTCAAATATATATGCACCTAACTGTATGAGGGATAAATGGGAATGCTAAGTGCAGCTCCATACCCGAGTGGTTGAGTAGCGTTTGTGGTTCACGCCCATTCTCTGGCGGCGTGATGAGCTCCCAGATGAAACTCTTGATGTTCTCGTCTCCACGATAGTGAAGCAGACAGAAGACCAGAATAACGCGACAGATCGTCTCCACATCACGCTCGCTCAGACGCCGCTTACACCTGGCATGGGATAAGATGTCCCTCCAGCGACCCCAACTAAAAAAGACGAACACAGGTAAAAGAGTGAAAATAAAGGACAAAACCCCATTAAAAAGAAAAAAATATATATTTATACAGGAAATGCACTCTTCGCACCCATAGACGAGAAGGTGTTTCTCCACCCGGAAACAGTCAGTGCGGCCGTAACCACCTCCGCTGTGGCGGTCAGACCGCCGAGAAGCACGCGAGTGTCTGGAATTGGACGGTGGGTACTCTTCATCACTGTCTAGATCGGACAGGTCTCCACCTTCACCTCGTAGACTGGAGAACTGACGGGTCTGCTTACGAACTCTTGGAGTGTCGATCACAAGAGTGTTCTGTGAAGAGAAACACGTTATATTAAGATGAACACAATAAACAACTCAAACTTGGTGTATGAGAGGATAGGTGCTTTTAAATAAATCTAATACAAGTTGACACCATTTAGCTCTACAATTCTCATATGAATTTCTTTACCAAAAAAATAAAACAGCATAGCTTTACCTTCCTATTGATTGTGTCCATGTCTATGTCTGCTTTCTTGGCCCACTTCTGCCAGAACTCAGGGTCATCGAGGGCGATGTCAGTACGGTTCTCAGAGGCCACAAAGCTGGCTTTGGAGAAAGTGGAACCTTTTCCCTCGCTCTCAATGGTGATGGTAGTGGCTCTTCGCTGAAGGATCTGGTCAATATCTTCCTCACAGAACCGACTACCCTCGTCGTTCTCATCCATGATGGCAGCATAAGCCCCCTTCCTAAGCAGATCTTCTATCTCCTTCTTGGAGAACTGCTGGATCTGTCGAAAGGCATCGAATTTACAAATTACCCAGACTGGATTTCAAAAGGCTAGTTTTGAAACAAACAAAAATATACTACAACTGATCAATAATGTGGCACGGCAGTCTGAGTCTGTGACTTTTCTTACCCCATTGACGTTGCTGTCTTTGTTGCCACTCATGCTTTGCAGGACTGCACGGTCTAGGCCTAGCTTCAGACTTGCTTTATCAAGCATCTCCCGCTCATAGGAATTTCTAGTGATGAGTCGGTAGACCTTGACAGCCTTTGACTGGCCAATACGATGACATCGGGCTTGGGCCTAAAATAGCCATTTAAAAAACAAATTAAAAAAACAACACAAACAAAGGGGTCAAGAGAGCAGAACTTGCACAAAATGAGGAGAAAGTACAAAGTTTGAACCAAATATTTTAAGATTGTTTGATCTTTTGGTTATATTCATGCCACTTTATGTCTTGTACCTGCAGGTCATTTTGAGGGTTCCAGTCAGAGTCAAATATAACACAAGTGTCAGCAGCAGTTAGGTTAATACCCAAGCCACCAGCGCGGGTACACAGCAGGAAGACAAAGCGGTCTGAGTCAGGTTTGCTGAAACGATCGATGGCAGCCTGTCGCAAGTTCCCACGCACTCTACCATCAATTCGCTCATAAAGGTATCTGTAAAAGCAAGTTACATTAACCTACCACACAGCATTCTGCAAGCACTAACAAATATTTCAAAAAGATTTTTAATGATCGCTGACTTAGCATCATTTGACATTTATTTATCATTTTAGAAAAACTGCAACATATACACTGCGGTCATCATACCTCTTGTTGATGAGGTAGTCCTCCAGAATGTCTAAGCAGCGCACCATCTGGGAGAAGATGAGCACTTTGTGGCCACCAGCCTTGAGGCGAGGCAGCAGCTTGTCCAGTAGCACCAGCTTTCCAGCCGACCGAATCAGAGCCTGCAAATGGAAGTCAGGGGCCAGGGGGTCATACACCTCCCGCAACTCTGCTACGATCTTCTCCTCCGCACCTGAACATAACAACGAGAACATATTGGTTTTAAATAAATATGATACCTGCTGGCAAAACCTGCAGTGCTGCCGCTGTATTTTAGAAACATCACATGTTAATAACATCTGCCAAATATCAAATGATTATATGAACTACATGGCACAGTTTAGGTCTGTGAGCCTGAGTGTACCAAAGGTACAAAGAGCTAAAAAAAAAACTTCGACCTAATGTTGTTTACCAAAGCCAGAGGGTGAACTCTGATAAATAAGCTGTCTCCACTAGAGGGGGGAAAAAAAAAAAAAAAAAAAAAACTCGTTAAGAGTCATGTAATACCATTGATGAGGTAGGGGTGGTTGCAGCACTTGCGGAGCTCCATCATAGTGTTGAGCAGGTTGGGGACATTGCTGTTACTGCTTGCTCCTAAACTGAGGAAACTGAAGTTTCTCTCCAGAATGGCCCGGTAGTACTTCTTCTGGATATCTGTCAGCTCAACCTGAGAGGAAACAATTGCACGTTATGTTTTTTCTCCCTTTAAGCTCACCAGTGATGTTATGGCAATCATCAATTGAGATCCTTGGGTTTTTTTTTCTTTCTTTTTTTTGGTGAAAAGAAAAGGTCTTGCATTAAGATTTTATTCCATCTAACCTCAATGATGGTCTCCTGTTTGGGTGCCAAGTTCTTCTCTACATCCTCCTTGAGCCTTCGAAGCATCATGGGTTTCAAGATTGCTTGTAGCTTCTGAACCTAAAGGACCAAAACAAATAATCAGCTCAATAGCGGGCAAGGGAGCCGATGCGTATATGTAACGACGACAAACAGAATAAGGTTATCGATGCTAACGCCAATATTTAGGCATGTCGCACCTGTTCCTCTGTTTTCAAGTCTCCAAAGTCTCTGAGAAATTCAGTTTCAGAGGGGAACTGGGCAGGCTCCAGGAAATGAAGCAGACTAAAGAGCTCCTCCACAGTGTTCTGGAGGGGAGTGCCAGTCAACAACACTTTGTGTTCCTGAAAGAACCACAAGACACAAATTGTGAGATGGAAGAAAAAAGAAGGGCGAGTGTAAAACCGTGTGGTGATAAATCAGGGACGATGCAGAAGGAACAAGATCCCAAAAAAACGGATTAGCTGAAGTCTGAAAGTTTTTTAAAACCATTTGGGGTGCACTTCTGTGTAAATGAAAACAATTTTAATTCAATTAAAACTGTGCTGGACACCATTATGTCAGTATTCCTGTTATTCAGCAACATTAGCTGTGGTCCACTCACCAGGTCCAGCATCTTTAAGCTATCCAAAAGCTTGCAATTACGATTTTTGAGACGGTGAGCCTCGTCAATGATGACGCAACGCCAGGCGATCTCCCTCAACTCGGGGCAGTCAGATAGCACCATCTCAAAGGTTGTGATGAGAGCATCGAACTTGTACGCACCCGGGATTAAATGCTCCTGCACACAAAATCATGATTTTCATTATACATGTGATGAACACATAACAAAAAACACACAAAACAAATCGCTGGCGATCATAACCAATAACTTTACCTTCTCATCTTTGCAGTACATCTCATACTGCTGTATCATCTGTCGGCTGGCCAGGCTGCCGTGATAGACGATGGCATTCATGTTGGTCCACGTAGAGAACTCCCGCTCCCAGTTGGTGATGGTGGAGAGGGGAGCAATGACCAGAAAGGGGCCCTGGACACCAGCAGCATAAACCTCAGATAGGAGTGCAATAGACTGGATGGTCTTCCCCAGACCCATCTCATCTGCCAGGATACAGTTCTGCCTAAAATAAAGAAACATCATTTGAGTGCAAAGTGCGGTGGTATGTTCACACTGTCTGAAACTAGTTTGAAGGTTAAAATATGTTTCTGACCATGGTGTTAAGCAAGAGAGTGTGTGGGATAAATACCTGTTGTACCAGTTAAAGAGCAGCCAGTTGACTCCTTCCAGCTGGTACTCTCTGAGTGTGTTACCATTCTTGTACTCTCTGGTCTCCTCCAACTTTTTCCAAGAACTAGCAGGAGGCCGTGCCTAAATAGAAGAGAAAAAATAGATGAAAAACTCACAAGAAACATCGTTGTTCCCTTACGTAAGTTCTCATTTTTTCCATTAAGCCAAGTTTTGAAGGAAGGAAGGAGACAAAAGTAAAAAAAAAGAAAGAAAGAAAGAAACTCAAAGAAGCATTTCTGCATCTTGATGCAGAGCAGATTAGTCCTGTTGGAACAACTGGGGATTTTCTAAAGTTTGGTTCACAGTGAATGGTAACCTGCACTGAACATGTTTGATTTGTGCACTGGGGGTTGTGTCAGTTTGTTTCTGTTACACACAAAGTGTCTCTCTAAACTGTTTACGTTAAACATTTAACAGAGAAACACAGGGACAAACTTAAAGTTACAGCTTCCTCCCACCATTGTTTAATTTAACTGTAGTTTGGGATTCTAAAACACGGATGCTGGATACACATCTTCATCCAAGCCAGCGTCTTCACAATCACGTGCTCTTCCAAATTTACAGTCACCAATAGTATTTCTGGACTTATGGCCTGACAATTTCACATCAGTGGCTTTGGTCATCACTGTAATGTTGTGTTGAAAAGAATACAGGGTTGTACTATCAGACGTCACAACATAAATACACACAGACACATTACTATATCTTTTACATGACTGCTCACCGCTCTCTTAAGGCGAGGTTGTCTGTTTTGGATCTTGCTGAATTCTTCAACCTTGCCTTCGTCCACATCCTCCTTCAGCTCCCAAGTAGCATCTTCATATGGCAGAGAGCACCACTTCACCAAGTAGTAGATAACAGGCTGACAGGACGAGAGAGAATGGGAATTAACACAAGCAATTTGCAATTTTGCAAAGGGAGGTCAAAAGAACCATGTCCAAAATTAGGCCACATAGCCAAAGGTTAATGCCTCATCTCTCACCTCGCCGTTGTCCTTGTCCACACTGTGGGACACATCCAGGATCCTGTCCACCTCCACGTAGTCTGGATTAAAAGGCTCCTCGTCCTAAAGAAAACAATAGCATTAGTCACAGACAGCATAAGGATAAGTGCATCTAACTGAGATACACCCAAGCTGACAGGTTTCAGCGTGTGCTTCCCGCTCACCTCCTGGAACAAGTGCCTCATCTGAGCTTGCTTGGTCTTGAACCTCTTAATCTTTTGATGGATCCTCTTGTCTTTCTCTAGCTGCTCCAAAGTGGCCCACTCGCAGTGCAAGTATGAACTGAAAACAAGAGTGTGCAGTTGTACTCATTTTTACTCACTCACCCATCCCCTCAAACAATAAAAAAAAGAAAAAAAAAAGGTGTCACGTGCCAGAGTCAAAGATGCTCAGAGAGACACTGCAACTTACTAGTTTTTGTATTTCACAAAGAATTCTTCTATATTTGTATACTGGCCTGGAAACACCTTAAAAACAAAAGAGCAAATTTGAAGCCATTACGCCCGCAACAACTTAAACTATATTAAGTAATTTAGTAATTATAATTAATTAAGTGAACGTACTTCCTTCTTGGTTAATCTCATGGAGAGGATTTTGTCTACAATGGCAGCATCTTCTTCACTTGGGTTTTCCTGTAAAATAAACACGTGTCAAAAACTCACACTACAAACATCACAAATAGCCACACATAAATGTGAATAAAAACAAACACCCCAAAATACACACAACCAGCATCCGTCTCATCGTGACAATAAGAAGAAATGATATTGTTCCACACTCACCACAAAGAACTGCATACTGGGCAATCCATCACCATCCAGCTCCACTTCCTGTTTGAGCTGCACTGGTGCCCCACTGCTGATGGAAGCCACAGCTGCCGCGGTTGTAGTAACATCTACGTCTTCCTGCTCGTCCTCATCATCCGTTATCTTGATATCTAGATCCTCAGTGTACTTCTTTCTCTTCACCACACGATTGGAGCGTCTCTTCTGAGGAGAGAGGGGCGCAATTTAAACGTGTGTATTCTGTGCAGCAGGAGCTGAGTGTTATTAGACAGTTTTTATTTAGAATTCATTATATTTCTGTGGTATCTTGACTTATATGCCCCCTTTTTCCAAATCGGTTCATAACTGGGACGTCCCAGCACATAACTGGATGTGTGTCAACCACCTGAGACAGGAAGGGAGGCTACTCATCTGCAACTACCAGGTGGTTTTATTAGGACAAGTCTTTACTGTGGAAGTACTCCACATACTCTTAATCTTCTGTTTATTTTATGTCGCAATTATTATCACAAAGACATCAAATCAGGGCAATGTACTGTCAACAATTGCTACCAACAAACAGTACGATTATGAAGTGTTCACAGTGGGGCAAAAAAAGAAAAGAAAGGATGGCTCAACACTATTTGTATGATTGTACTTGTATGATTTTATGAGCATGCATGTGCTTGTACCGTAATCATGTCATCCTCCAGCGCAGCAGGTGACGCAGGACTCAACTCCCCGTCAGAGTGGTCTGAGGACGCGTTTCTCTTTCTTTTCTTTGCTCCAACTAGAGTGATAGTACTGTAGAGTGGGGTGGGGGGGGGTTAAATATGGTTTTCTTCAAAGCTGCATTTCTAAATGTACAGAAATAAGCTGTGCATTTAAATGAGACATCTTCATTTGCTTACTTCGCCTTAGCTTTGCTTTTGCTCTTGTTCGCAGCACTGGGTATTACTGTGCCTCCTGCCACTATAGTTGTTCCTCCCGGTGCCTTGACTTTTCCCTTTTTGTCAGGCCCTCCTGCGGTTTTGGGTGCCGTTCCTCCAGATACAGGGCTTTTCTTCTTACTTCCTCCACCGCTGGTTTTCTTCTTAGCACTAGACACCACCGTCACGGTACCCCCCATTTCTGGGGAAGACTGCGTAGCTGGAAGCTCATCCTGGTTAAGGACTCTGGGTAGGTTCTTCTCACCACGAGCTTTGGCCCGAGCTATAGCCTCAGCCACTATACGGTTAGCTTTCTCTTGCTTGCAGAGAATCTCCACTCGCCGCACAGAGGCAGGCTCTCCGGGCGCCTTGGTAATGCGGATGGCCTGGGATGGAGTGGTAGTTGTAGAAGACGGTCCTGCTGCTGAAGTGTTGATGACCTTCACAACAGAGACGGTGCCGCCAGCCGACGAGGCTGCGCTTGTCTGAGTTAAAGAGAAGGTTAAAAATACATAACATTTTTACAAAATTACAATACATTCTTCCCTGTAATTTCTCTCAGTTCACATTAAAAGCCCCACTCTAATGTAGAGAATAAATAAAATCTGCAGATTAGAGGTCTACCTGTGGCTGCAGAAGCATTTTGAGTGGTACTGCCACTCGCTGCCCTCCTTGGCCTTGGGATATTTGCAACACCTGAGGGCTGCCGGTATTCCCAGCTCCTGAAACCAGCTGGTACTGCACACATGAAAGAGACACATCAAGTTACAGATTGATCAGATTGATAAAAAAAAAAAAAAGTATTAGTTTAAAAAAAAAAAAAAAAAAACCATAACAAGCCTTGTCTGAGGAACTTCCTAAAAATTAACAAGAAATTTTTTTTTTTTTTAAATGCAAGTTTCCGAGAATAAGTTGTATTAACAAGTTTTTAAAACTGGATGGCATACGACTTGTAAAAGCAGCCTGTAGCACATGGATGAGACTTCCTTCTGACTCCAAAATTTGCTTTAAACTAGGTGGTGTTCCCACCCATACTGACTTTGAGTGGGCTACATCATAAATACACGCACACACGCCTGAAAAATAAAAATGAATAAACAATGTCTTTATGTTATCAGTTTACTAGTAGACAGTTTGCACTGTTTTATTGTGAAAGTTCAAATGCTTCAAATAAACTACCATGAGTCCTTCCTGTTTCATGGTTTGCCTGTTGGGTTGCTACTGTAGTTATCGTTCACACTGCCCCCCCCCACACACACACACAGCAAAGGTATTTCAAAATTTTGTTGTCATGTTGCTTTAAACTGGTTTTAAAAAAACCAAACATAAAAACCCCACAATTACCATGTAAAATTGTTATTAACTTGACAGAAAGACGAACACATTGATTAGACACACATGTGTCTAATCTGATTATTTGGAGTAATAATAAACTTAACATTCCTATTAAAAGACCTAAATTTGCTGGTTTTTCAACCTGAAGCCATTAAATATCACGTAACAAAGACACGGAGAGAATGTCAATATATTTAAAATGCACCGTCCTTTATCTCCAAGCTTGCCAGTCCCTCCACATCACATACCACAAAGTGCGTTTCAAAACAATCAATGCTCTTCAGCTGATCAGAGAAACTACCTCTGAATACTAACTGATACCGGTCAGTGGAGCCAAGATGGTGATTAAGCTGGTCTGATCTGTCCTGGCTAAAAGACGTTGTCAAAGCCAAGGTGTTTTGCCATGTCACCTCATATTACATTTGTACATCTGAAGCACTGTGTACTCTGGTACACATGTTGAACTAAAATATTAGTTACACAGTGACACCTTTGAGGAGGAGCAAACTTTCACAGATTTCAGAACTATAGTACTTGCGAATGGTGGAAATTAAAAGCAGACCGGTATTCAAGATGATTGACAAGGAAACAACAACAACAACAACAAGACTTTCAAGGCCCCACTTACTTGAAACAACAGAAATTAAGAGCAATTTGAATGATTTTGACAAAAACATGCCATCAAAACTCAATGTAACTTATTAACACTGTTAAACAAGCCGAGACCTCCAACTCCTACAGCACTCGTTTCTCACCTTTACACCACCTTGCTGATTGGGCTGTTGTTGCACCTGTAGCTGAATTGTGAGAACTTTGGGCTGCCCTCCAGCCTGGCCTGCTGCTCGTGCCTGAGTCAGGGCTGCTAGCTGGCTCCCCTGGAGCACCAGTTTCCCCCCGGGGAGCTGCCCCAGAACCAGTTTAGTTGGGGCCTGGGTCTGCTGAGGTTGGCCTCCTTGTGCTGTCTGAACCTGCTGGACTTGGGTGACCTGCTGTTGGGCTGCAAGAGCTTGACCTGCTTGAGTTGCAGAGCCAGCCTGGGATGGCTGCTGAAGAACCAAGGTGATGCGTTTTGCTTCTCCACCCTAGAATGAGAAATGCAGAAGGACATTTATAACTGAACTAATTAAAAAACATGAAATCAGCAGTTATCCTGATGGTATAGCAAATGTCACCTGCTGACACTTTGTGGTCTGCTTACCTGCGTCTGGGCCTGCATAGCTGGCTGGAGCTGCACTTGGCCCTGTGCCTGGACCTGGATCTGAGCAGCTTGGTTTTGGAGCTGCACTTGGCCCTGTGCCTGAACCTGGATCTGGGCAGCCTGGGTTTGAGTTATCTGTGCTGTTGCTGGAATCTGCACTTGAACTGACTGGCCTTGTGTCTGCTGCACCTGCTGGGGCATGGACGTGAGCAACACCTGTTTCACTGGTCCATTAGGAGACTGCAGCAGCCTCTGCACTCCTGCACCACCCACCTTCACTTGTGTTTGTCCTGGGCCTGCCTGATTCAATACTGTTCCGCCCTGCAGGATGGACATGCCAGGTTTGAGTGGTGTGCCAGACACTACACGGATGACCTTTCCACCAGTCTGACCCGTGGCTCCTGATAAAGTCTGTAGCACCTGTGCTTGACCCTGGGGACCTTTGAGAATGACGATTTTGCCACCAGCCTGTTGTGTAATGGCAGCTAACTGCTGGGGAGTAAGCTGGTGGGTTATCTGTGTGAGCTGCTGGGTGGTGGCGGTGGTTGTAGCTGGAGAGCTAGAAACAGTCAGAGGCGAGCTCAACAGGACAGTGCTACTGGTGGCCCCACTGGCATTGCTGGCAATTGGTATGGTGGTCTGGGCCTGTATCTGATTCACAGTATCAGTAGGGGCAGGGGTCACATGAGGCGCTACAGCTATGGAAATGGTCTGAGGAGTTGCCACTTGCACTGGCTGCTGTGTGGGGACTTGAACAGGGGCTGGATCCGGAACGGCTGGAGCTTCTACAGGAATACAGAGGCTCGTGTTAGACGCGAGCTCAGGAGCAGGCTCAGACTCTGGTGTTGGATCCACCTGGCCCAGAGCAAGCTTGAACGCTTCCTCAACCGGGTCCGAGGAACCCTGAGAAAAGGAGTCGTCCTGTAGGGCATCCAAGTTAAACAGGGGTGTGTCCTCAAAGAGGTCCATAATGGGATCTGCCATCTTGCCCACTCCACACAGGGAGATGGGCACAATGTTAAAAAGACTCCGAGATGGAAGCTAAATAGTTGTTGTCCAGTTCTTCTCAATTTTTAGATAATCAGCTGTGAAGGGAAAGGAAACAACAGTTAGACACAATTTTCTTACTGACTTTGTTCAAAGAAATGCTGCACTATCACAGCATAACGTCGCTCAGACCTGTACATCAAACTGTGACGTGACAGCTCTAATGGTTAGTACAAGAGTGCTTAAGTTAAGGAAGGGAGAAGCAGAGAAAGGTAATCATTGTAGTTTTGATTATGGTTTTCTGGTGGCTATGAAGATCATAATCAGTGGAAATGTCTTAAGGGTTAAAAGGACATGAAGTTTACTAAAACAAGGATCACTTTATGTAAACACGCTTTTATTTATCTTAGTGGCTGTGGTGGAAATTATCCGGTTAATGGGCCGCATAAAAAATAAAATAATGCTAGAAGGATGTAGCAGCTTGTAAACTAGAGACGAAACATTAAAAGTATAGTTTTTGAATTCATCCTCCAACTTGTGGACACACCGTCCAGAAACGCTTTCAAAGTGAAATTAAAAGCTTTGAAAACACACAAAAACAGTGCTCGTCGGCTTAAGTGTTAACATATAAAGAGAAAGTACGCGGATAACATTTAGTGAATGAGAATAACGAGCAGTGAAGTCATACGATTAGGTGAGTGATGCTGGAAAGACGGGATGCTTTCCTCTCAGGTCGTATTGCAGTCTTTCTCTCAAAACCGTCGGCTAGCATTAGCTTCTACCGCTACAAAAATGTGCCTGTTACAAAGGCGTGTGTGGCACCGTAAACACATTTAGACTCAAAAACACGATGAACTGTGTCCTCTTCGCCGTCAGTTCGCTTTCCAGTCATTTACTATCAACCATTCAGTCCACCGGACTCCTTCGATATCGTCAACAAACCGGACCAAACCAAAGCAACGTGCCACAATAACCATTGCCCGTCAACGTTCAGACACAGGTTAGGCCGCATTGCTGTTTCGGCTGGCCTGCGTCTATTTTCGGCAAAAATACGTGAAAATAACCATCATATCTACTGCCCCAACTCTCACAGTAATAATTTCAGGGTGCTAAATTTACCTTTGCGTCGACACACATGGCTTTCTGAGTCTCACAACACTGTACGATTACAGGAAACGGCCAGGAGAGAGCAGGAACTAACATTCTTGCCAGAGAAAGCTCAGAAAGCTTGCCCCTCTGGTGCCGTGAAACGATCATTGGTTAGCCTCCTCCCAAGCCGGCAGCATACGGCAATTTCATTGGCTCGACTAGCTGTCCATCAGACGTACTGCCGCTACCGGGCGGGATGAGAGTCATAGTTTGGTTGAAGTAACACTAAATGCGGCCTAGTTGGGATCGTTTGGCTCGGTGATCTTCAACATTGCTGTCTCGCTGTTGTAGATGCTCGAAATAGGAAGCGCAGCAGTTTTAGAGCTGGCTGGAAAAAAATAGATATTGTTTTAATAAACTGAAGTGTTCATGGACTGCACGGCCAAAAGACCTGTTTCTGAATGGCACACCATCAATTTTTTCAGCGGTTTATTACACTGGCCATAGCCCAGAAATCAGCCTACATCATTAAATGAATGAAGACCTGTTGTCATATCGGTCTATTAGTTTCTAGATGTATATAACCAGACGACGAGGGCGTATTATATATTTCCCAAGGTTACTGGTACACCTGGAACATTAATATTAGCTTCCTCTGGGTATTAATGTAATGGTCTGGCGCTTTCATATGCGATTCAGTTTTTTAATTAGGCTTTGGTGCCCTCTAGTGGCCTAATATTAAAATATAATTACTAGCTTTCAGTCTGTTATGTATGCAGTTTTCAGGGCACTGGGACAGAAAAGGGCTCTTATTGCCCCAGATTCATTTTTTCGTTTTCTTTTTTCTTTTGGTCAGTTTCCTTAATCACAAATTAATTAGACCATATAAGTGTAAACTAATCTTAAATAATCTCATACTTAGATTTCTACATAGGGCCCTCTGAGGTCAGATCACAGGAATGCCACACCCTGTCAGATACAATTGTATTTGAGTGGAGCAAATCTTGAAGTAAATAAACTGCCAATGGCTTTGAAGTTTGTTGTATTTGCAGGTCCTTGTGGGGCTCGGGGCAAAACGGAGGTTACTCACTCTACGTGGCTGAAGAGTGAACCAATCAGTACAGTGGCACTTAGGTGTAAAGTATAAAAAAGAAAAACATTTTAACATTTGTGCGAACACTGCAAGATTTCATTGTGTTTTCTGAGATTTATTTAGAAAGGCCATCATTTCCTGCCTAGGACTTGAGGTTAATTTAATAAGATATTCTTCTTTGGGAGCATTAATATGACAGCGTGAATTCATATCTAGGCTTTTTCCATTTTTATGAATTTTTTTACTTATCATCCTAATTTCATAAATGTATAATTCTGGTAACAGAAGGATGAAAATGACAAAGGAAGTCAGAGAGAGAGAGAGAGAGAGAGAGAGAGAGAGGAAGATGGTGGGCATGAACCACGGAAGCGTAAGTGACTACATGTGACAGCACACCACACTTTATCCACGGCAGCCCTGCAGAGATGAACCTGCCTGTTCGACAGAGCCTCCATCTGTCTGCGGCCCTATAAGGAGCATCCACCGTACACCACACTTCATACCGGGTCCCACGCTGGTCCCTTCGGTCCATGCCAATGCCAGCTCTGCTGGTGGGATCTATATTTACAAACAGCTGCCATGGCACTAGGTAGGGTACAATGGAAGGGATGAGAAATACTGCCTTGTATAAGCAGATTAAACAGTCGCGGTCTTGGTGATTCATCAGATATTGTCTGAAATCAATCTCACTCGCATACTCAAAGTGAAATACTGAGCCAGATTTAGACTATTTTATTTGGTCTTTGATAGAAATTTCTTTGTAAATAAACATTTGTTATATTATACTAACAGGCATATAGAGGAACAGCAGTCATACAGCACACTAGAATAAAGAGATTTTTTAAACATAGACAGGATGGCATGTGGAGCACAGCAGTGTTGAAACACTTAAGAACAGAAGCTTTTAGGTACTCTAGCACAGAAGCCCATGTTTTAAATGGCTACTTTAGAATTTTGCCACAAAGTATCTCCTATAACAAGCATTTAGACATAAAAACAAACAAACAAACAAAACAGAGCAAATGAATTCCTCAGAGAAATTATGTTTGCCATCTACTCTCATTTTCTTTTTGGTCCATTTGAACAATCATCTCATTTTTGCATAAAAGCCATCTTTTCATGCACTATATAAGGTTACAGATTGAAGCCTTTCTTTTCTCCCACCACCTCTTCCCCTTTTTTCTTTCAATCATTCTCACTTTGCGGCGCTTCAACCCTCTATCTTTCTCACAAGGGGAAAACCAGGAAGCCTGAGAATGTGGAGTACTTCCAGCCTCCCATCAGGTTGCCTCTCTCCAGTCTGAGGTAGGCCTTGTCGCCCTTCTCCATAATCACCAGGCCGGCATTGGTGGCGGCTTCTCTGGTCACGTCCTGGTCCCCGGCGAATGCCGAAATCATTGGCCAGCCGTTCACCATCAGGCTAACCTAAGAGATGGGAACCAGCGAGATTAAGAGAGTGATCCACTGGAACCACAGCTATGAGTCACAGAGTTGAGTGGGCGTACCTGAATAGTTTGTCTATTGTAGGCCTTCACCACATGGAAGTTGAAGCTGTACACCCCCCTCCTTGGTGCCAGGAACACACTACTTTCTTGGTCAAAATGAGTGCCCACGTTAACCAAAATCTGAACAGACAGCAGGAAAAAGACGGGGGATGATAAAGTCACGACATGGGTCATTCTTTTCGTCTGTTCAGATTGCTTACTTCCAAACTACTGAGACCTATTTTAATACATCCCTCCCTCCCTCTAAAATGTCCATGGACATGCAGCTTGTGCAGCATAATCCAACCATGTTTTCATTATGTGGCTTCACTACAAGTTCAAAAGTTTAGCAATCAGCTCATTATCACACCCAATGGGAGAAGACACCTGACTACAAAATGATAGCACAGAGCCTTTTGTGTGTTTGCCCATTCTGTACTGTAAAAAATAAACCTGTCACAATTTGCCACAGTATGCTACAAATGGGCATAATAAACATAGATATCTGATAACTCACATTATCAAAGTAGATGATCATGGTGCGGTTGCTCATGTCTGTCGGCTCGTGGTTGGTCTGGCGGCTGGCAGAGAAGGCCACCCGACCCGAGCCAGAGCGCACCGACATGCCCAGGGCGTTTCCGGTGGGCTCGGATGAAGGCGTGGAGTCACACACTACCAAACATTTCCCCTCAAGGATGATGGGCTCTGTGTCATTCTGGCCCCTGGATCCCAAAGGTCCCCACAACAGGAGCATGCCCAGGAGGAGCAGGATGTCAGGGTGGACTGACCCGAGGTGCATGACTGAACCTGAGATTTTATTTTTATTTTTAAGTCAAATATCTCTAATTTCTAAGGACAATAGTCACTCTGGGCAATCTGCAAAATAAATAAACATGCTACGGCTAAAGAAACACTCTATATCAGAACAGAAAGAGAAAGAAAAGTCTATGTTTTCCAGGCAGTTTTGACTCAGATTGGTTTGCTGGTCATATCTGTCAGTCTTTTCTTTCGAGTTTCCCCCTTTTTGACCCCCAGACAAATCCCCAAATCTCTTCAGTGTCCTTTGTGCTGTGTCAACAGGGTCCACAATGACACTCAGAAAAAAATCTCTTGATATTTTCAAGTTGATGTCGTCAGCAAAAAATAAGCAGAGATGTAGCTGAGGAGGGGAAGAGAGGGAGAGACAGAGAAAAGATAAGGGGCGGCACGGTGAGTGAAGATCCAAGTCCGGGCTTAACGGATGAAGACGAGGACGGAAAAGGTGTGGAAGAGAGGGAAAAAAAAAGATGAGGTAAGACTTTGGAGAGGTGACAAGGGGGAGGATGTAGGACCCAGAAGGGAATCAGAGAGAGAGAGATGGGGAACAACTCCACTGAGTGACCATCTGTCTGCCACACACGCTCGCTGTTTCTCCCACTTGTGCCTCGTGTTGCGCACACTCACACACGCTGTAGCCGCACGTACACACATTCATCTTCTCTGCAGGTTCGAAAGACTTTCTGTTGGTTCAGCTCACTGAAATGAGTAAAATGCAAAGCCCCCTCCCCCCCCCCCCCCCCCCCCCCCCCCCACGCCTCCAATGCCATTTCAAAGTGTAGAATTTTTTGAATATCATCCATTTATCTGTGCAAAATCAGCAACAGGGTGAAAACATTCCCTTCTAAGCTTCAACAAAGTTATTCAGAGACAAATGCATCATGCTTCCTCATTCAAGGAATTACACAATTCATTGTGTTATTCATCAACAGTGACTAAACATGATCTGACTACAAAATTATGAGATTGTGAGAATAATAAAAGTAATAAACAGAGGATCACCTGTTCCCATGCAAAGGATCGTGTATTCCATATCTGAAGGACTGAAATATCCTTGTTGTCCCGCTCCTTTGTCACATTAATTCACAGCATGGCTGATCACAACCAAGATAGAGACTGCTCTGATCTCTCTGTCTATCTCCCTGTTCTTTCCCTTCTCTCTCTCTCTCTCCCTCCTTTCCATCTGCTTCGTTCTCACCCTTTATGCTGCATCCGCCCACTCACGTTTACAGTAATATAAAAGATAAATAAGTGTGAGCAGCTTCAAAGAGCAAAGTTAGCAAGTGAGTGGCAGTTTTCTCCCCTTCCCCCCCTGTAATTCCCAAACAAAACATTGATCTCCTCACAAGAATCAAAAGATCCTTCGCCATCTTCAAGACAGCGAGATTTATTTCCAGGTCTTTATGCATGTGGTAAATAGAGCTGGATTCCTCGATCCGCAGCACCGTTTGATCCATAAAGATGCTGCTTTTGTGCTTTTCTTTGATCATGCACTTAATGTCTAGACACTCCTAGATACAGACAGGAAATCCCAAAACAAAGGTAGAGCTTCAGAGATGTTTAAGAAAGGCTGGAGTGAGAAAAAAGTTCAAGTTTATCATATTAATATCAGCCAAACAAATTTCCAGCTTTTCTATAACTACATTACTTTATAAACAAAGGCCATCCTTAATTCTAATTGCTGTGGAATCAAGGTGCTGAACAATGTAACTAAAGTAACTAATTACTTTTAGAATATTTTAACTCAGTTACTAACTCAGTTACTTTTTTGAAGTAACTAGTAACTATAATTAATTACTTTTTCAAAGTAACTTGCCCAACACTGGAAATGAACATAATTGGTCCCCTTTGAAATGAGCCTTTCCATCTTGTGTTTAGGGAAGTATCAAATTCCCTTTGGGTGTCTTCTGGAAATGTTTTCACATGCCAGCTGATCGCAGCTTTAGAAGACACAGTTTTGTCTCTTTGGTGAGGAAGAGCTAAAGCTCTGTTTTAGAGCAGGAAGCAGAGAAACAGCAGCTCATGGCAAAGACTCCAACAGAGGTTTGCATAAGTTACACAGACGGGGAAAAAACAACAGCACTTTATTTTGGAATGGCCAAAACAGCACAGAGTTCATCATCATCATCATCCTCCTAGCTGTCCTCTTCATCACATCAGACTTTAACAATAGTGATCCGACTGTTGAGCTCAGCTTTGTAGAGTCCAAAGCCCAGGCACACCGGCTGAGTAAAGGTGGTGGAGAAAGTGTGGAGGTGGATCAGGTTGTTAGACGGTCCCACCTCTGAGTAGGTGATGGTGCCTGAGCTGTAGTCCACGGCTACAGCAACGCGGTTCCCAGTCATTTGGTATGTGAGGCGGGTCTTCCTGCGGTTGTGCCAGGCGGCTAGCTTTTTATCGTGCTGCTGTGTCAAGCTCCATGAAACCTACAAGGGGTTTAATCAAGGAAGATGTTTTCATTTCAGCTGAAACTTTACTATCAAACAATTACTGATGTGGGGGAAATTGATCTGGCGATAATTTTAGTAACTGATATATATTTTAAGTTGAGCAAAAATCACTGCAGCGTTCCAAGGAAGTATTGGCTATATCTTAAATTGCATGTGGTTGACAAGGAAGGTATCACTGTAAATGTTCTCATCCTTCTGCAAAATGTGCTTCGATCATTGACGGTTAAATCAGGGCAGTGATTTTAGTAAAAAACCTAAACATAAAATTAAATGTACACAAAAGAATAGACTAGGAAAGAATAGAACTGGAATACAATTGTTGAACTGCTTTAGTGCACCAGAGGAAAATAGAAAGAAGGTTCACTTTTTTTCAAGGCCAAATTTACTGTTTCACTCTGACTGAATGAATGATGAGATGTTCGAAGGAAAAAATCTTTTTCACTGATGCCAAACAGACTGAGAGATGTCAGGGACAGGCATCAAACAGAGGCTCCTGCTTATTCTATTAGTTAGCAAAGAAAACACAAAATCTAACACTGGAACGAGTGTGATTAACCACTCTGGCTCTGCGGCACACTTGTACCTTGTTGTTCCCAAATGCATTGCCTTCTTTGCCCTTCCGTCCAATACTTCGGTAGCAGATGCCCACATCCCAGAATCCCTCGGCTTCCAGCTCCCAGTAGTGAGTCCCAGAGGAGAAGGTCTGGACGGTGAGGACCTGCGGCCAGTGGTCGAAACGTTCGGGATGAGCAGCGCAAGGCAGGCGGTTTTTAACTCGTGTAACTGAGCGCAGGTCATCCGAGATGCTCAACAGAGGATGAGCTGTGTTTGTGTCCAGACTCAAGGGACTGGTTACTGCAAGGAGAGAGATAAATTTTAGTTACTTTCCTCGTAGTACTTAAACTTGTTCGCCCATTTCTATGGAGCAAAACAGAACTTTTAAAATGCAAAACAGAGATTTATAAATATATGCTTTTGAGCCACACCTACATCCTCAATTGCTGTCACCTTCATTTTGTCCCCACTGCGTTACATCTGAATAAATATATTTAAACTTAAACGTTACAAACATGTATATGCATAATTCAGGTCATTAAACTCGTGCTTTTTAACATAAACATCATCTCCTATTTATTCAACACATTCATAGATGGTTCATCATGGTTTTAACTCCATTGATGATGCTTTCTTTATTTAGCTCAAGGCAAACATATTTAGAGTTGAACTGACTCTGATTTGCTATTCTGGACTCAAAACTGAGTTTCTCTTCTTGGGATTAGAGGTCAGCGTTAGACTCAGAGTTTGTTAAACAGATTGCTGGTGTATTCAGCTTCATGTCTCTACCTTTGTATTTGTCTGTGCTCCTCTGTTCCCCGCCTTTGTTGATCACTATGTTTGTCTTCCTGTTTTTAGTGCCAGCTTAGATTTTGTGTCCTTATTTGGGATTTTGATGTCTGCTGCTTTTGAATTTGCGTAGACTCTTGTAAGTTACCAGCAGCATCTTATTAAAGCTTTTGTTTTGTTTGCTCAAGCTGTCAGTCTCTGAGTGTCGGCAAGTGTGTCCTCCAGTGAACCATAGAAACCAACTGAGAAATATTTGCTAATGACATCTACGTGTTAATGAAAACCCACAAACACATTCTTTAGGTTTTATCAAACATGAACTCCAAACAATGTCAAGAAAAATCAGGTCGTTGACTACAGAGGTGTTACATAGTTACATACATAGAAGACTGCTTACAGTCCATCATACCAAAGGTGCCAATGGTCCTATCTATCTATCTATCTATCTATCTATCTATCTATCTATCTATCTATCTATCTATCTATCTATCTATCTATCTATCTATCTATCTATCTATCTATCTATCTATCTATCTATCTATCTATCTATCTATCTATCTATCTATCTATCTATCTATCTATCTATCTATCTAGCTGACCTTTCACTTCTAAATTGAATATGTAAATGACTGCACTCTGGAGCCTCACCTTAAGACCAACTGAGCATTATTTAAATGCCTTGTAATTTATGATGTCTGCTTACAGCAGGATGATGTACCATGTCACTCAGAACTCAGATCATCTCAAACTGGTTTCTTGAACATTACACTGGAATTCAAATGGCCTCTACAGTCACCAGATCTCAGTCTAACAGAGCACCTCTGACATGTGGGTTAAGTTCTGAGGTTCAACAAGAAAGCTAACAAGCTTCATTCCCCAAAATGTCTAGCTATTCCGTTAAAATCATTAGCGGGGCAGGTAAGTGTCACACATTCATTCCACTCACAGAGTTCCCTCTTGAGGTCACTGAGACAGCGGAGGGTAGCAGTGATGAACTCGCGGTACTTGTGCTCGATGTCCTCCAGAATGTGCTTCCTGTCTGCGCTGATGGGATCAGGGATGTAAAGTGGACTGTTCAGCTCAGCTAATAACCTACAAATCAAAAGCACAAATGAAATAACGCCTTTATTATTTTGTGTTTTTCATTGTTTCTCTGTCTCTCTTTTCTCTCGAGCTTCCACTGTAATAACACTCCCTAACATGACAACCCAAACACACGTCAACATAACACAGCTCAGGACGAGTCCTAATTCAGTCTGACTGGTTTGTTCTGGACTTACTTTGTGTCATCTGACTGAAAGGCCTGCGAAAAGAAAAGTCAAGGACAGCTGAGAAAAATGCACCAACAGAATGAAAAGCAGCTGTCTGTGTGAATGTGAATGTGCTCAGGTAGATTTTTTTTCTATAAATTCCTACATTTCTACATTTTTGCATTTTCAAATCGCCCTAATATGTAGCCATGCTAAATGTGTGATCTGCTGTAAAGCTTCACTCTCTGGCCACTGTGTATATGTGTAGGGTATTGCAGCATATTCCAGTCAGGACTACAGTGGTGGATTTCCTTGGCTAAAAATGATATTCTGCAGTCGTACAACAGTTAATCTCCCAATCAGAGATTGGACTGGATCGTTACTGGAAACTGGTGCATCCTGTCTTAAGCTATAATTTAGTTTCGTTTGCATGACCTAGTTCTGGAAAAACTTAATGCTACACTCACCCAGATGAGCAGGAAAGGGTCTGTCTCTGACAGCAGTAAGGCCAGATAGTGCTGGATTCTTAGGGTGTGGTGCATGTGGTCCCTCACTTTGGAGCAGTCTTCATGCACACGATCCATGACCTGCTGCCTCTCCTTCTTGGTGATGTCTCTCAGTGCCACCACCAGCTTGTTGACCTGGACCTGCAGGTCTGAGCCCAGCTGCTCCACCTGGGCATCGTCCTGCCTCAGAGAATCCTGGAACCAATGAGGACAGAATACTGGATTGCTGGCAGATCAGTGATTGAGACACAATCAAACCACATGACTTGTGATTTTGGTACGAACAGCTTTATGAGTCATTAGATTTCCTTTGCACAGATAAATATGTGTACTCACTACCATGGTGGAATCGATGTTCTCACGCTCTTTGAGGATTCGCTCTCCATCTTTCAGTTTTTCCTCTGCTTTTATAAGCAGTGTCTGAAGGATGACCTGCAAAAATCACCCAGTAGGTATTACAGCAACCACACGTTAACATAAAAACATACATTAATTGATTATCCATCCAGCACACCTTCAGATCATCCTCCACGTGCCTCAGTGCTTTCACTTTGTGCTGAGCGTGGCCTCCTTCCAGCAGACAGTCGCCACACACGTACACTCTCTCATCAGCACAGTAGTAGCGGAACAGCTCTGTGTGCGCCGGGCACCTTCGCTGGGACAGATCGCCCAGCGGATCCACCAAAAGGTGGGTGCTAAACACCGGTCTCTCAAGATGAGGCCGGAGATGTTCGGCACACAGCGACACTTCACACCTCAGGCAGGTCTTAACTGCCAATGGCGGTTGTCCTTTCTCTGCCTCGGGAGGGCAGCAGTCGCACAGCACTTCGCCGTGCTCCTCCTGACACTGGGGACAGGTGAAGCGACCTTTTCCTTCACCCTGGCTGCTCCAGGCCTCCCGGACACAGGCAGGACAGAAGCTGTGACCACAGGGCAGGGGCTGGGATTGGCTGAAGGTGTCTCGGCACACAGAGCAGGTCAGCTCTTCATCCATGGAGGCCATCGTGACAAGGATACTATAAACACTGGTTTCATACAACAGGACGAAAACAAATAAGCACATTGATTAAGCGGCAAACACACAAAACGTACAAATATCAACAACTGTACAGACTAACATGTTTGTGTGATGTATAAGAAAGACTAACACAAGACAGAACCACACACAGGCAGCGCTGGAATGGTGACAAGCTGGGAATGCTTGTTTCACTCCAACTGTGCACTCAGACCAGTAATCCTGTCTACTGGGCTTTTGCCTACTGTGCTCTATGAATAGATACTTCACAAAGTAAGCGGTTTTACTGAGAAAACATGCTGAAAGTGTACAAAAATATCAGAAAGGCCTCATCCACTTTTGTCAGGGAATATATCAGCACAACTAAAAGTGCTAGAAATGACATAGAATACCAAAAAAACCCTTCTTCTTCTTCTTCTTCTTCTTCTTTACAATAATATATACTATCAGATATTTAAAACATTATCAAATGAAACAAAGAAATTATCTAATAAACCCAGGTGTAATATATGGTGGTTCCTTTGCTTTAAAATAGTAGCAAAGGTGTTGTAACACTGACTGTAGACGAGCATTAACTGCACTTAGACTGAAGCTGTTGCAGTGGAGGGATCAGGAGATCATCTGACACAGATGGCTGGCTCAGTTTCCTTTACATGTGCTCTTCTTTTCTGTATTTCCCCCAAAACTTTAATGCTTTAACTAACAACTATGTATCATTAGAAATTACTAAAAAAGCCACAGAAGTGTCATTCCTTACCCGTTAGCTTCTTAGTGTTTGCAGACTAAAGCCATCTGTGAGTGCGTGAGTTGTGTGCGATCAGACTGCCGATTGGAGGCTAATCCCAACAGATTCACTGCACTCAGAGAGGTCAGCTGATCCTGAGATGGGAGGAAGGGCAAAAGTGGGGGGAGTGGGGCAGGGAAATTGATTAGGTAACTCTGAAGATACAAGGTTTAGGGTTAGAGTTTACATCGTGTCCCTGCACAATTTAAAACATGTCAGCGTCACATAAAGCGTTTCCTCTCTAGCTGTCCTACACCATGTGTGTCCCACATGTCCAACGCTTTCCATACGTTTGTTTTTGTCATTCAGAAACATGACTGCAGCTTTCAGCAAGCTTAGCTTTACCTGACTTTGTTGGGCCAGTGAACTTATAACAGAGGTTTGGTTTTTTTGTTGAAACACACATGGGGGTGCCTACTGGGGTCAGCGGGGGAGCTGGCCCCAGGGAGGGGTCACTTGCCCCTCCCTTCCTTCCCTCCCCATCTCCAGCTGCCTCCCTCTTCCCGCTCCACCACAACCACCCACACATGCAGGGCCTTGGAGTAGGGGTATGTCACCAGGGTGCAGAGGAGGCTACCCCCCCCTCTGTCCCCTTCTGGCTGCCTCTGCCTCAATTTTATCCCACAACTTAGACATTCACATTACTCACACTCTCATTACACATACATATAGGATCTTGGGGGTGGGCACGATACACGGAGTCCAAAGTACCATCAGGGTGTACACCCCACCCCTGGCATCGTTGCCCACCTCTCAATTTTAAATACACGTAGACATTGAGGGCTAGCAGGAGGGACTATGCGCTTACCTGCTGCTCTCTGGCAGGTAGCTCCAAGCCCTCCTGGGTTTTAAATGCACCTTAGAACACACATGCATCAACATTACAATGAGCGGGTGGAGGGAGGTTTGGAGTCTTCTCTCACCCCCATTCTCTGCGACCTGCTGGAGCAGGGGGGCTAGGACTAGGAGGAGGAGTTGGCCGTCCGACTGCGGTCTGGAGTGTGGAGCCTCCCTGCTGCTGCGGAGTCGGGGCGGTCTGCCTCCCCCCACCGCAGGGAAAAGGGAAACACCACCTGGGTCTGGGTGCAGTTCCCCCCTCCAGGGGCGGGGGCACCTAGACCCGGTTTGTAGAGTACGCTTGGGGAGTGTGATCGTGTGTACAACGTCTCTTTATGTCTGTCTCCACGTTGGTTGAGTGTGGAGTAAGTGCATATGAGAGCATGAGGGTGGGAATGGATGTTTGTATCTGTGTGTGCCTGTATGTCTGTGTCTATATGTCAGGTTGGGTGTCAGGCGCCACCTCTCTGGGGACATCTCAGGCCCTCCAAGGTTTGGAGGCCTATCTCCCCCTACCACCACTTCCCCTGCCAGTGGCGGACCCCCTCAGACATCGGTGCGTTGGTGGTTCTTTGTGTCCGGGGATGGGCGTCCAGGTACACACCGGCTCACTCCTTGGCGGCCGCTTATCGGGGCCTGGAGCCTGGGGCTCGCTCGGGCCACTTCGGAGGTGGGGTGCCCCGGCCTCTCGGCCTGGGGCTCGGTCACTCAGGCGCAGCTGGCTGCCGGCGGAGCTCACGGGCGCGTCACTGCAACTCCCCCTGGCTTCTGCTCCGCGGCTGCTGAGTGAGCCCTCATCTGGGACTCTCCTCAGCTCTTTCCGGGACAGTGGCGCAGCTGCCCCTCTGTTGGTCTTCCTTGGTCTCTTGTGTTCTGGGGGCCTCTTTATGTCTGGAGTTTTGATCTCCTCCACACCTGCTTCACGCCCTGGAGGACGGGGCTGTGGCCCCCCACACCCTCTAGCAGATTATTACGTGAAGGAACCTTTTAAAAAACAAAAAACAAGCGCGTCCATGCTCACAGGTGTACACACGGGTGATCACACCCACAAACTACACCCTTTTTGGCTCCTACCTCAAAGCACACTGTGTTCTGTTGATCTTATGTGCTGCACAATAATGTTTAACATTTAGTATTTACTGTCATATTCCCATATATCATTGTGATGTTGTTTATTCTATTACTCTTGTTCTCTTCTGCTTGCTTTCTTTTTTCTTTCTCAGCAGGTGATCCAGGTGATTGATATATGCATTTTTTTTCTCTGCCCGTTCTGTTGGTTTTTGTCTTTTGCCCTTCTCCCCCATCCCTCTTCTCAGCTGTTTCTCTTTCCCTCTTTCTTTCTCCCCTTCTTTCCCCCAGTCAAGTCTGTCCCGTATTCAGTAAGTGAAAATAAAATAAACAATAAAAGGTGAATCAAATGGACCATTATGGCAAGGCTGGGATGGTCAGTTTGGTAAAGTAAATCCGTTGGGCATCTTTCTTTGCCTTTAGACAACAATTCTGATGGCAAAAGAGCCAAACGGGACAGGCAAAAAAAAAAAAAAAAAAAAAAAAAAAAAAAGAAACACACATGCATACTACTGTATTTTCCCATCACAAAAACTATCAACGTGAACCATTCAGTCAGTGATACTGGGGACAAAACAAACAACATATGCAGCAAGCTCAGAAGGGCGAGGTATTTACCTCTATATTTAATTTTTCTTTTTGTCTTAAGGAATACAAATATATGTGCGTTATTTGCTCTCAAACACAGGTCTTCAGCTTTACACAAAGTAATTTTGTTTTATTTCTGCCAACATTTCCATGCACAGACATGAGAAAGAAGACCTTGGGGTTTTTTCTTCTTTTCTTCCCCAAGCCTTTTTTACAATTAAAAACACGACCTTCAGAATATTCAGTATAGAAATGGATTGGGTTGGATTTCGGCACAAAGATGCGGTGCACAAGGTTGCACACAGAAAAGCAAATAATCACAGAACTTTTGTCAAGGGAACATTTTTGCAATTTTTCTCCTGGCATCTCTGATGAAAAATCTAAAAATTTGGAGGAAGCATCCTGTATTGAGGTCTTACTGTAATTTTCATGCTTTAATAGACACCTCTAAGAAATGTGAACTTACGAGAGCTGATGACATCCATTTTTTTCATTATAATAAAGGTTCAAAATTTCAAAGACCTGCCACATCCATTCAAGAAACACCAATTAGCTCCTGAAATATTCAAATGTTATTGTTTTTTTTAATGACAATGTAACTTCATAGAATTAGGCATGAAGCTAAGCGTTAATAAATAACAAAAAAAAACTCTTTTGTTATTTATTAACTGACTTAACAGTATGAGTAATTTGAATGTACAATATCCTGGACTCTTCAATCAGTAATGTTTCCTAAAGTCATAGGATGTTTTGGGTCTTAAAACCATCAGACGGGTGATAATGCTCGTGCCCATGTGGTGCTACCATAACTGCGACTATTCTCTGGACCCATGGTTTAAACAAATTCTGGCCTCAGTGATATCCAGCATGTAGTAGGTTCTGAGCAGCAGAGGCCTTAAACCTCCTCTAATAAGTCTGAGTTCTCTGCTGGTTGCCGGGATGGATAGTGTGTCTCTCAGGCTGCAAACACTTTTCCTTCACTGGTTTGTGGTTTGAAACTGGCTGTAGGTGTGAATGTGAGCCTGAATGGTTGTCTATCTATTGGGTTAGCCTTGTGATAGACTGGTGGCCCATTGGGGTGTACCCTGCTTTTCATCCACTGCCAGGTAGGATAATTTTTAGCGCCCTGGAAAAGTGGTTAGGATGGATGGATGGATGGATGGATGGATGGATGGATGGATGGATGGATGGATGGATGGATGGATGGATCATAAAGGGGTCTTTATTCACTAGACTCTTAAGAGTAAAATGGTGCATCCAAAACTCACTTTTTTAACGTAAGTCTCAACGACAAGGCAAGAGAATCAGAATGAGGTTGTTAGAGTAGTCAAGCATAATCCCTGAACCATAGTAGCACTCACTGTCTCTTTACCTTTATTTGAGTAAGGACATGTAGGTATTTACGAGATCCAGTCAGACCACCATTGTCCCATTTTCCTTCTTTTTGGAGAGTGGTATGAATGTAAAGGTGTCAGGACGGTGCTCAATTGGGCCCCTAACAACAATAAAAACAAATATCTTCCCCTTAACACTGAGTACTGCGCTCACTTTACAATCTAAGGTATAATGCAATCTAGATAACAGGAAGTGATGTGAGCAACACAAGGCAATGTGAAGCAAATGAAATTTGATGTTTCTATTTTTCAACTTTGTATCATTCAAGACACTGGAACAGTGAATGCCTGCAGATGTTGAACTAGAAAAATGAAATATTTGCAGCATGTGCAGCACTGTCATTGTTATAAAATGTAAGCCGTACAGGTGTGGACTTTCGCTAGCAGAGGTTGCAACAAAGCAGAGAACTGTCATTAACGAGCTTCATTAGAACAGATAGAATAGAATAATCATTTAATTGTCCCACAGGGGGGAATTTGGTTGTACAGACAATTACAGACAAGAAGAAATTGGCCAGGCAGCCAGCTCTATGAAGAGTCTTGGTGGTTCCCAACTTCTTCCATTTACAGATGATAGAGGCCACAGTGCTCACTGGGACCTCCTGCTGCAGATCTACCCTTCCCCAAATCTTTGCCTCAATACAATCCTGTCTTGAAGATCCACAGACAATTCTTTGGACGTCATGGTTCAGATTGAGCTCTGACGTGCACTGTCAACTGTAGGACCTTATATAGATGTGTCCAATCAACTGATTAAAAAGATATTGTAAACTCGTTCAGTATCTAATTACGTAGCACTGGTATTCTTTTTTAACATGTCTTTGAGAGACACCTAGTGGCTTTATTGCTGTAGCACACAAGCCACCGCACCTGTCTGCTTATAGGGAGACATTCTTATGAGTTAAGATAAGACAATAATCAATATCATGACAGTAATACAAATAAAAAATGAGGCTGCTGGCACAACTACATCATTAGCTGACAAAATAAGCGTTGTAATGCACAAAGAAACTCACAGCAGAAGCTTTTTACACTGTTTAACACTAATATAAGCGGTGCATGAACATGAATCATTCATATTTTCTCATAGGGGTCACCAAAGAAAGATAAATTGCCTGTAAATACTCTGGAGGAGACTAGAATTTTTCTTTATATCATCACTTA